ACTGCCCCGGGGGTGGGGCCTCACCGCAGCCGGCGACGTCCCGGGGTGAGGTCTCGGGGTGAGTCCCGCGTGAGGCCCGCCCCCCCCCCGTCCTCGGGCTACTGTGATAAGCACATCAAGAATTCTTGAACGGCAATCTCTCACAGCAGAGCAGGCCGGCTGCGGCTCCTGATGTACCTCCGCTTTTGGGTGGCGGTCGCGCGCTGCCGACGGCGCTCGCCGGCGCTACGGCGCTCGCGGCGCGCTCGTGGCGTTCAGGGCGGCTCGCACACGCACACGCACACACACACACACACACACACACACACACACACACACACACACACACACACACACACACACACACACACACACATGCACAGACACACAGCCCCTTCCCCTCCCCCCTCAAGGGCGAGGACACGCACAGGCCGCACCTCTAGTGAGGCCCGCATAGTATGTGGGAGACTCGTGCCGCCGCCCCTGCCACCCCTGTGTCAGTGTGCCTGTGGTAGGAGAGACTGCCAGCGACAAGCTGGAGGCAGGTCGCTAGACTGAGATGAGACCGCCAGTGGATGTGGGAGTCCACCGCGCACCGCGCTGCGAGCCTGTCGTGTCCCTTGTCAGGAGCAGGAGAGCCCCACCTGTCCCCCTGATCGTCCTTCCAAAATCCTGCTCGTGCAGGTGGGGACCCTGTCCTCGTCCCATCCCTCGTTTGGCGTGTCTGTTTTCTTTCTTTCTTTCTTTACACTGGCACGACATACAGACATGGATGCGAAACAACGACAAGACCAAGGCACGGGCAGAGGAACGAGAGAAGAATATAGGGTGGATAAAGCGCCTGTTCACGGCATGGAGGGTGAGCCACGCCGAACGTACCGAACGTAGAGCTGAGCGGAAGGCAGCGGGGGAAGACGACTCCGAGGAGGACGAACCAGTGGAAATCCAGTTGTCAGATGTCACGATGCACCCGAAGGGGACTCCAGCGCCGGCATCATCCGTAGAGGCACAAGTGTTCGAAGAGAGAGTGGACCTGAGCAACCACATGACTGGGCGGCAAATGATAGCAGTGGGCGTCAGAAGACTCGTCCTTGCGCGAGGAGAGCTCGATAGACTCGAGGGGCCAGGATATGCAGCGAGGAGGACGGAGTTGCGCCGAAAGGCAAAAGAAGCCGAGAGGACAAGGGAACGGCAGGCGGCGGCGGCGGCGCAGAACGAGGCAGAGGAGAGCGACGCGACAGAGGAAGAGGCGACAAGGGAGAGCACGACGAGAAGGGGGAGACCGCGAGGTGGCACGAAGGTTGCAGCGAGAATCGGAGAGAGACTGCGAAGTGAGATAGGAAGAGGCGGACGCCCAAGGGTGGGCGATGGCTAGCGCACCACACCCCTCTCCTTAAAATCCCTGTGTGGTGGCGGCGTGCCGTCCTCCCATCCCTCCCTTGGGTTGTCTGTTTTCTTTCTTTCTTTTACACTGGCACGACAAGGGCGCGGACTGGCGCGGACTGGCACACACACCGGCTCACACGCGTGAAGAAAACAATTCGCGCCGCCACCTAGAGTTCTCTTGCCCGCAACCCGATCGCTTTTTCCTCCCCTCTCCGGAGGTGGCTCCTTGTGTCCCGCAGCGCCCCGAGCCGCTCGCGCCCCGCCACGCCCCCAAGACGGGAGGCTCGCTCACGTGCTCCCGCCCCCATGTGGATGTGCAGGCGGCTTTGTGCTGCACCGGCCCGCCGTCTGGCAGACCGCGGGCGAGATTGTGCCCCACCCGACGGGCCCGCTCGTCAACGGCATCTACTGCGCGCCCGCCTCCGCCGTCCTGCTCGGCCAGGTCAACGTCGCGTCCTGACGCGGCGCGGGGGGCGCCGGTCTCGGGTCCCAGTCTCGGCTTTTGAGAGAGGGCGCAGCCGGTGTGTCGCCACTTGCGGAATACGAACCGATTACATGCTTGTTGTGGGATGCGGGCGCCAAGTAGAGCTTGCATTCCTGCAGAGCTGCGCCGGCGTTCCGCGTTGGGCGTTGTTGAGAGACGACGACGAGCACGCCCCCCGGCGGGTCACACTCACAGCTCACACACTCTCAGCACGACACAGCAGTCACACGTCACACGACACCTTCGACAGCGCGTCACACCTCCGCCTCACGCACCCAGTCACCCGGCCGAATGCGGCAACGGACGCACGCCGGCGCAACCGCCCCACGACAGGCAGGCTCGCACTCATGACCCCCCTACTGGCCTTGCGCCCACACCTTGATCTTCCTGGGCAGCAGCTGGTTCGACAGGTCCTCTCCTTGGCCTAGGCAGCCGTCTTCGCCCTCGCCCCAAGCGAAGACAGCGCCATCGGCGGTGAGGGCGAGGCTGCGGTGCCGCCTTGCTGACACAGCGACGATGCGCTCGCCAGCAGCGATGCGCGGGCCAGCAAAGGTCTCCATCTTCTTGGGTAGCAGCTGAGGCTCCTCGTCGCCGTGGCCCAACTGGCCACCGGCTCCATAGCCCCAGGACCAGACGGCGCCGTCGGCGGTGAGGGCAATGCTGTGGTGGCCTCCAGCCGAGACAGCGACGACGCGCTGGCCAGCCAACGCCTCGATCTGCTTCGGCAGCAGCTGGTTCTGCTCGTCGCCGTGGCCCAACTGGCCACGGGCTCCATAGCCCCAGCTGCAGACGGCGCCGTCGGCGGTGAGGGCGAGGCTGTGGATAGGCCCTGCCGACACAGTGACGACGCGCTGACCAGCCAACGCCTCGACGTTCTTTGGCAGCAGATGGTCCTGCTGGTCGCCGTGGCCCAACCGGCCGTCGCCTCCACCACCCCAGCTCCAGACGGCGCCGTCGGCGGTGATGGCGAAGCTGTGGCGGGCTCCTGCCGAGACAGCGACGACGCGCTGGCCAGCAAAGGCCTCGACCTTCTTCGGCAGCAGCTGGTCCTGATCGTCACCGTGGCCCAGCCGGCCTTCGTCTCCCCGGCCCCAGCTCCAGGCGGCGCCGTCGGCGGTGAGGGCGACGTTGTGGCTAGAACCAGCCGACACGGCGACGATGCGCTGGCCAGCAAAGGCCTCGACCCTCTTCGGCAGCCACTGCTCCTGCTGATCGCCGTGGCCCAACTGGCCTTCGTCTCCATCGCCCCAGCTCCAGAGAGCGCCGTCGGAAGTGACGGCAAGGCTGTGCCCGGCTCCAGCCGACACGCTCACGGCGCGCTCGCCCCCCAGCGCCGACGGGAGGCGGGTCGGCGTGTTGAGCCGCGTCACGCCCTCGCCGTGACCGAGACAGCCTGAGGGGGGGGCCAACCACTCGCCCTCCTTTGCCGAACCGCACGACAAGAGCCGCCCCTCGCCGTCGATGAAGAGGCTGTGGGAGAAGCCTGCCGCCGCCCTCACCCGCGGGTTGGCCTCGCGCAGCAATGCAGCAAAACACAGCCACCGCACGGCACAGCTCTCGTCCTCTGGCAGCGCCGGCAGCTCGTAGCCGCGCTCTTGCGCCCGCAAGCGGATGCCCTCCAGCGCGAGCGAGGCGTGGAAGAGCAGCGAGACGGCCGCGACGCGAGCGATGTCGAGGGGGCTGTCGCAGATCGAGAGGGCGCGCAAGAGGAGGTCCGTGGGCAGGTCGAGTAGCATGACTCGCGCGGGTGGCGAGGCGCCGCCAGCGCCGGGCGACCCCTCCTCAGCAGCATCAGCAGCCTCGAGCGGCGAGGGAGCGGCGGCGGCGGCAGCGGCGCTCGGCGGCGGCAGCGGCGGCACGGACTCCGGTGGTTGTGGCACAATCCTGGGGCGCCTGTACGTCTGTAACTCAGCCGCGAGGTCGTCGAGGCGCGCGCGATAGTGCGGCTGGCGCGGGTCTGCTTGGTCGAGTGCGTGCTCTCCCACCAAAAACGGAATCGTCTCGTTAATTCCCTCAACGAGCCGCAGGCTCTGAGCGAAGCGCTCGCGGGCCCGGTCGAGGTCGGCGAGCCGTTCCTCTTTGGACTTGGTGGGGGGGGGGGCGGCGGCGGCGGCATCGGAGGCGGCGTCGGCGTCGGCGTCGGCGTCGGCGGCAGCGGCGGCGTCGGCGGCAGTGGCGGTGGCGGCGGTGGTGGCGGTGGGAGCAGCGGCGGTGGCGGCGGCGGTGGCGGCGGCGGCGGCGACATCGGCGACTTGCGACCGCTTGTCGGCGTCGTCGACGTGGGCAAGGAATTGCGTCATTGCGTGCTCGTCGATCGTCACCCCGGACTGGAGGGCGGAGGCTGCGGGCTCGAGCGGCGAGGAAAAGGCGGCGGCGGCGGCGGCGGCGGCGCGGGCCCCCTCTCCGTCGTCTTCCGATGCGCGCAGCGTGCCGTCGACGAGAGACGCGCAGACGGCGACGCTCTCCGCCTCGAGCGCGACCGCACCCGGCGGCTGCCCTGTCCGCAGCAGGACCCGCTCGACGTCGTTGTCGGCGGCGTTCTGCGGGAGCGCGAGGGTGAGGGTGGCGCCTCGCGGCGCGCCCTGTGGAAGGACGACGCTCGAGCACGCGCCCGACGCGGTCTCGACGTCGATGCGATCTCCGGCCTGCGCGCCGAGCGGCAGCGAGACTCGCAACATTGTCACGCCGACTCGCGCTGTGTGGGCGCGGGCCGAGTTTTTTTCTTTTTTGAGAGAAAAGAAAAAAAGAAACGCTGGCGCAAGTGAGTGTAGCGTGTAGAGTGGTGGTGAGGGGCGTGCAGTGTGGTGTTCATTAGCTCCGAGTAGAGGGGGCGTCCTGCAGTTAAGGGGAAACCCGGTACGCGGGGCTAACCCTCGGAGACCCGTGTTTACTTTATTTAAGGCCCTTTCCCTGCGAACGCGCACCCCCGGGGCTAGGGCTCTCTTGCCCGCAACCCGATCCCGATCATCCGGCCCGCTGGGTGCGCTTCTGAGCTCCCCGGCCCTGGATGTGCGGGATGGCACGCCAGCTCCGGAGACGCGCACGACGGCCACGTTGGATATCGGCCAAAGGTGCGGCCAAGGCTGCAGCAGACGCGCTGAGCCTCGTGCGATAGATAGATGGAGCGGGGCACGTTGGACAGGTTTAGCATCTCTGAGAGCAGCGCGGCGCTGGGATCGTCCTTTTCGCCTTGGTGGACCGCGTACACGGGCGCAAAGCCGTTGGTGCGCTCCCAAGGGAATTGGCTCTCATCAACACCGGCCAGCCGGAGGACGCGGAGCATCTGGTCCTCCCCTCGCGCCTCCCAGTCCTCCATGTAGACTGCGTCGAGCGACGATGCCACACGGTACCCGGCACTCGCATACGCATCGGCGTAGTCGTCCATGCTGACGGCCACGCGGCGGATCCTTTTGCACAGCACGTTCTTGTCGCCGCGGCGATAGAAGCTGCCTCCACCATTCCTAAAGGTGCGGCACAGGCCGTCGGCGACGGGACGCATGGACGCCGCTAGACGGCAATCATTGTCCACGGGCATGAGTGCCGCGTACAGCCCGAGGACCGTTTTCGGCCCACCCAGCCTTTCCGACTCCGCCGCGATGGAGCTCAGAGGGGCGTCGCCGTAGACGCTGCGTTGGCCCCAACCAGGGCACGTGGCTGGCTCTGGCAAGACGTGGGCGTCCCAGCTGACCGAACGCGTCACATAGTGACGATACCAGCGGAAGGGCTGCAGCTCAGGGTCGCAAAAGACCAGCAGCACCGCCGCTGACGGATACGCGCGGAGGAGCCGAGCCGCGAGCGCCTCGCTGCTCTCACGTCCGCCTGCAAAGTCGCCCAGCACGGGAGCTTTGGCCATCCAGACGAGGCTGTCGGATGGGATGACCCCCGGGTTGTTTGCCGCCACAAAGGCGACCGGGGAGATCACGTCCGGGTCGAAGAGGGTTTCGGCTCTTTGCGGCCACCGGATGTTTGGGTGCAGCTCCGAGTAGTCCTTCACAGCGTTGGTGCCGCACTTGCCAAATGCGGGGAGGAGAAGCGCAGGGCCACACAACGGGCCTCTGCCAGGGACGTCGAAGACGTCGCAGCGTTTGTGGACGGGAACTTGCGACGGCGGGTCTGACATCCTCTCCACCGTGGTGGTGGCTCGCCGTGCCGTTGATGCGCCTGCTCCGCTCGATGCGCCTGCTCCGCTCGAGGTGCGGAGGCCGCAAAGGATGCGGGGGCGGAGACTCGCCGCGGAAAGTGCCCGCCGCAAGGCTTCAAAGAATCCGGTTTCCCTGTGCGCACTGGCGAGTAGAGGCACACGCACGCACTCTCGAGGTCTCTTGGAGCGGAGCCCCGGCGAGATACCCAATGGGTGTATGGTTCTTGCACTTGTGCAAGATTGGGCGTCTTCTGCAGCAGCGTTTGTGCCCCGTTTGTGCCGCGTCCCGTGCCCCCGAGTTCATTTTATAATCCCTTCTGCAGCAGTCCCTTTGATGGGGCGAAGACCCCTCGAGAGGGGTACCCTGGGTCGGCGGGGCCTCTCCTCGCCAGCCTCGCGCCTCGCCAGAGGGTGCGAGAGGCAAACCTCGGACAGCCCAAACCGTGATCCGACCTGCTGCTCCGACCGTGCTCGAACAGGGCTCAGCGGCGGCGGGAGGTAGGATTTTCCCAACCTTGTTCCGACCCCTCCTCTTCCGTAGTCATACACGGACGCTCGTCGACAGCAAGACAGGGCAGCCGCACACCGGAGCGTTCAGCCGGCGTATCGCATGTCCGCGAGCGAGCAGCCGATCCCGGCAAAGCCGCGCCTCTCGTGGCGGGGCGTGAGCATGCTCATGGTGTCTGACATCGTCGGCACATCCGTCCTCACCTTCCCTGCCGTCGCCGCCGAGCTCGGGTACGCGCTGACGGTCCTCCTCATCGTCGGCCTCTTCCCGGTGACCGTGTACGTCAGTGTCCTCATGGCGCGAACACACGTCCGCGTACGCGGCATCGACAGCCTCGGGAGCGCTGCGCGGCGCATCTTTGGGCCGCGGTACGCCGGCGGCACCTTCGCGGTCGTGTACGGCTACACGCTCCTCGGCAACGCCTCCTACCTCCTCGTCCTCGGCACCTCCCTGCAGGGCGTCTTTTACGACGCGCGCCTGTGCCTCGCCGCCGCGTCTGGGCTCGGCGCGCTCCTGCTCGCGCCTCTCGTCGTCGGCCTGCGGCGGCTCGGCGACTCGGTCGCGCTCTGCTCCTCCAACCTGCTGACATGTCCGGGACACGTCCATGACATGTCCGAGACATGTCCCTGCAGGTCGCCCTCTGCTTCTTCAACCTGCTGCTCGTGCTGCTCTGCGTCGGGGTCGCGTTTGGCGAGCTCGCCGCGCGAGGACGGCCGCCTTGCGTCGAGACGCACGCGGTGGCGCAGGCGATGGCGACTAGCGCCAGCAGGAGGGGGGGCATAGGAGGGGGCCTTGCTCGTTGGTTTGCCCGCACCGGCGTGCATTGCCACCACCCGTGGCCGTGCCCGCACCCGCGCCCGCACCCGCGCCCGCACCCCCACCCGCACCTCCACCCCCACCCCCACCGGAAGCGGCAGCCGCAGCCGCGCCCCCGTGACATTGCGGGCGTTGCGCCGTCGTCACGGCTTCGATTTCACCGCACTGCTTGACATATTTCCCCATCTCTCCCCATCTCTCCCCATTTCTCCCCATTTTTCCCCATCTCTCCCCATCTCTCCCCATCTCTCCCCATCTCCCAGGGCCTGGACTTCACCGCAGTGTTTGGCGGCGCGACCAACCTCGTGTACGCCTACGCGGGGCAGTGGATGTACTTCGAGATGATGACGGAGATGGAGGCGCCGGCGGACTTCCCAAAGGCCTTCCTCCTCCCCGGGCCCGATCATGCGAATTGGTGTATCAACCAATGACTGGATGACTGAAGGCCTTCCTCCTCTCGGGCCCGATCATGGTCGGCCTCTACTTGCTTGTGGCGTGCCTGGGCTACTACTACCTCGGAGGGACGCCCGCAGGCAGTGACCTTCCCTAGACCTTTCCTAGACCTTTCCTAGACCTTTCCTAGACCTTTCCTGGAAGGCTACTACTACCTCGGAGGGACGCCCGCAGGCGGCGCCGCTTGCGGCGCCAACCCCGAGGGGAGGGAGAGAGCGCCTCAACCCTCACCCTCACCCCCCCCCCCCCGCCCCCTCGTTGCCGCGCAGGTAGCCTCGTGGAGAGCGTGCCCGCCGGCCCGGCCTACCGCGCCGCGCAGGGCCTGCCGCTGCTGCACGTGACCTTCCCTAGACCTCTCCTAGACCTTTCCGGGCACCTTCCGGTAGGCCTGCTGCTGCTGCACGTGACCATCGTCTACATGGTCAAGAGCGTCGTGCTCGCGCGCTCCGCACACGGCAGCTTCGCCGCCCCTGCTCTACGGCGGTGCCGGCCGCGCCACGTAACACGCAGCGAGCGACCCACACCCACACCCCGTAGGGCGCCTCGCGCCCGCCGCCGCCGACGCGCGCGACGCGCGCGGCTACGCGCGCCACGCCGCTCTCTCGCTCGCAATGCTGCTCTTCTCATACGGCGTGACGAACGCGGTCCCCTTCTTCGAGCCGCCGCTGGCGCCCCTCCACGCATTTCTTTTTCCAGTCTGTCTTTCTTTTTTCACAGGTCCCCTTCTTCGAGCCGCTGCTGGGGCTCATCGGCGGGCTGCTCTCCGGCCCGATCAACTTCCTCCTCCCCGTCGCCCTCTACCTCGGCGCCCTCTGCCGCGACCTCGGCGCGACCGCGAGAGAGAGCGACGAGGCGGCGGAGGCGTCGCTCCTCCGTCTCGCGCGGCTCGGCCGCGCCGCCTCGACCCGGCTGCCACTTGGCGAGCGGATCGGCCTCGCACTGATTGTCGCCTTTGTGCTGGGGACGATGGTGGTCGGGACCTACTCCACCGTCACCTCCCTCGCCGCGCGGTGGAGAGAGCTCGGAGGGCCGTTTGCATGCCACCCGCTGGTGCTGGTCAACAATAGCGACCCGTGCGGCGGGTAGTCCAGGTAGTCAGAGAGAGGGCCGTGTGCCATTTGTGTGTGTTAACCCCTAAACGGCGTTCCTTGACATCTGCCAAAAGGGTTATTTTATTCCTTCGCAGGACGCTGGTCGGAGCGACGGCCGATCCAGCACGAGTCGTCTGAGCTCCTCGATGCCAGCGCGCGCCGCAGCGCCGCCGATCACGTGCAGCCCAAGTGCGCGCCGAGAGCGCGAATGCACGGGGAGTGGGAGCAACGTCACAGCGTGTCTCCCCCACCGTCCGAGACCCGACTGCACGCCCCCGCTCCGCGCAGCTCGCGGCTGGCGTCGTGTGTTGTGCTGACCAAGGAGATGGACGGCCTCACTGCGCTCGTGCCCGCCTCCAACGCGGACCTGAGCTCATGTGTGCCGCCACCGCTCGCGGCCACTATACCAACCCCCTTCTTCCCGCCGGCCACGCCTTGCGCCTCGCGCCCACCTCACCCCTGACTGCCCCCCCTCCCCCCCCCCCCACCCCAGACATGTGACCGGTGACCGGAGGTCTACTTTCGCGGCACACGAGGATCTTTGGCTTCTGGCGCCCGATCTTGTTGGCTACCGTAGGGCCAGCGGCACAGTCACGGTCAGCGCTTGGCCCCCCCACGCACCACACGCCTCGTGCAGGTAAGTTTAGGCATAACTGAGACTGAGTCGCGCTCTGCAATGAGGAAAACGAGCTCGCGAGTATTGCGATTGGCCATTTGGATATCGTCTGTGTTAGCTAGCGTGTTCCTCTCATTCTAAGGGACAGAACATGAATGGATGAAAACCACCCCTCAGACCGGTCCCCTCAACCTATGTATGTAGGAAGTGGAACCAGAAGATTGGGGGGGGGGGGCAGGGGGGGGGGTACGACGGTACGAGTTGGTGTGTATCGGCTCACGTGGACCGCCACGAGGCGCTCGGGAATGCGGAGGAGGCCCTCGGGGTAGTAGGCAAACGCGCCGCCGCTTGGCCGCCAGTGCCGCTCGATGTGCGCGTCGAGCGCGCCAGCCACCGAGTGCGCGCGCCCGACGTGGGCCACCCTCGCGCGTCCCCATGCCTCGTCGTGCCCCTGCAGCGCCACCGTCTTCTTGGCGATGCGCTCACGCTGCGCGCGCCACGCCTCCTCCTCGCGCGCCCGTTTGCGCTGCCGCTCGGCTTCCTCCTCGGCCGCGAGTTCCTGCCATCTCGTCGCGTTGCACTCGACCTCGCCCTTCCTTCTCGGAATGCGGTAGAGGAGGGGCTCGCCACTCGCCCCGACGCGAGCGGTACCGCCGGCCGCGCCGCCATTCGCGCCGCCCGCAAAGGAAGCAGCGCAGCCGCCAGCAGCGCCGCACGCGACGCCCGCAAAGGAAGCAGCGCAGCCGCCAGCAGCGCCACACGCGACATAGCCCCCAGCGTAGCTCGCGGCAGCCTTAAAAATTCGCTCTTTTTCCAACGCCACCCGCGCCAATGGCCTGCCACCGCATCGGCGCCCGCGTCTCGGGCCTCTCGCCAGCGCAGCTGTGCGCCATCATCGAGGCGCAGGCGGGCGCGAGCGACGCCGCGCTGCGCGTGGCGGAGGAGCACGCCGCACGGCTCGTGGAGCAGCCCGAGTGGGTGCTCTCCGAGGTCCTCCTCTCGCCGGACCTCGCCCCGCACATCCTCGCCCAGCTGCCGACCAAGGAGCACGCCGCCAAGGGGACGTGCCGCGCGTGGCGCCGCGGCTGGAAGGAGACGCTGAAGAAGCGCGAGAGGCCGCGCCTGCTTGTGATCGGCGGCTACAGCAACGGCGAGTTCCTCAACTCGCTGGAGCGGTACGACCCTTCCACAAATGAGTGGGAGGAGGAGGCGATGGCGCCGATGCCTTCGGCACGAAGTTTTGTCGGCACGGCGATGCTCGATGGCAAGCTCTACGCGGCGGGCGGCAGGGTGAACGACGAAGGTCACGGCGCACCTTCCAACTCGGTGGAGCGGTACGACCTGGCTGCGAAGTCGTGGGAGGCTGTGGCGCCGATGGGGACGCCACGCGAAGGTAACGGCGTGGCGATGCTCGACGGCAAGGTGTACGCTGTGGGCGGATACAACCTCGACGGTGTCATCAGCTCGGTGGAGCGGTACGACCCGGCGACGAAGTCGTGGGAGGCGGTGGCGCCGATGGCGGAGGTGCGGTGTGATCACGCCGTGGCGGTGCTCGACGGCAAGCTGTATGCGGTGGGCGGACGGGGTTTCGGCTACAACACGCTCAGCTCGGTCGAGCGGTATGACCCTGCGTTGGATGCGTGGGAGGCGGTGGCGCCGATGGCGGAGGCGCGGGACTCTCACGCCGTGGCAGTGCTCGACGACAAGCTGTACGCTGTGGGCGGAGCCTACGACGACGGCCGCCTCAGCTCGGTCGAACGGTACGATCCCGTGACGAACGCGTGGGAGGCGGTGGCGCCGATGGCGACGGTGCGGATCCATCTCGCCACGGCTGTGCTCGACGGCAAGCTGTACTCTGTGGGCGGCATCTTTCATGGCGCCCTCAGCTCACTTGAGCGATACGACCCCGTGACGAACGCGTGGGAGGAGGCTGCGCCGTTGACCACCGCACGATCTTTTCATGGCATCACCGTGGCGTAGGGTAAGCTGGAGGGTGGACGGTGGAGAGGCAAGTGAAGCTGTTTCTGTGCCAGCGCGGCCTGCGCGGGCAGCGCGGCTGGATTTCCTTCTGAAAGATGGGGACGACTCGGCATGCTCTTTGGCACGGCTATGCTCCCACAGACGAGCGACGACAGGACACAAGGGAGGTCTATCTTCATTCTATATCTACTTCTTTCTAAATTTTATTGCATATTGTACCGTGGTGCGGCTTGCGGTTGCCCGAGCTCAATATTTTTTATCGCGCCTTTCCCGTTCATGCACATGTTGCATGTGCATGTTGTGCTTGTGGCGGACGCGACCATGAGCATGAGACGGAGAAAAAAACTTTCCTTTCGAGAAAAACTTGAACACGCACGCCGATGTCAGCGTGCCAGGACATGTGCACAAGCCTGGTCCGAAACTCGTACGTTCGAGAGAGAATTCGGCTTCGGCACGAAGCAACTCCATGTTCGTAAAGCCTGTGATTCCGGCGCTAGGGCGTTGGCGATGCCCGGTGCGTGGGCCTGGGTTTGTAAGACGGACGTTGTCGCGTTGGCCTCTCATACATGCGACTGCTCAGACCGCGAGCTGCGGTAGTTGCCCTCGGCTGTGGCGCATGCGCGGTGACCAGGCACAGAGTGCTGCCCGCATCGGAAGGCACGGAGAACCCGCTCGATCGCCGCTCGATGGTCGAGGCACACACCCGCGATATGGTCCACGCCATCCTCCGGCACCAGACGCTCAACATTGCCTATCTCCCGGATACCATCGAGAGGGAGGTGTACAGCTTCGCCATCGGCGTCACGTACAAGTACCTCCTGAAGTGGACAAGCTACCTCCACGGTGTGAGCTTTCTCAAGCACCAAATGATCCTGGAGCTGAAAGAGGACTTTGACGCCGATGCGGTGGTCGCCCTCATGGCAGCCGAGACCATCGATGTGGCCCGCCTGGAGCAGGTGGTTGACCTGATGCTTTCCAACAAGGAGCTCAACATCTGGGTGATCCCCGACGCCCTCGAGCGGCGCGTGTATCTCGCAGCGCTCGCAATCATCTTCCAAGCCCTTCAGGCCTTTGCGAGGTCGACGAGTGTGGGAATCTCGGGTCATGAGCTGTCGCTCAACTTCAAGGCAAACTCCAACTGGAAGCCGGAGGACGTCGTGGAAAAGATGCTGACCGGAAACAGCGCCGTGATCGACGAGCTCGTTGACGACCACCTCTCTGCGCACAACATCCTTTGGATCCCGGACGCGGTGGAGAGGGCGCTGCTTCGCAACCTCTACGCGCTGGTGCCGGCGCTCATCGACTCTGTTCTGGGCAAGGCTGACCTGCGCCTCCTGGGCAACTCCATCAAGATTCACCTGGAGCCGCTCGAGCTGGGCGGTGGCGGGGCGGGATCGGCAGCGGCCGCGGCAACGGAGCTTGAGCCCGGTGCCGTGGGGTTGGTGGCCAGAGAGGGAGGAATAAGGAGGCGACTGAGCACGTCCGAGGCAGTGATGGTTGGCTGGGTCGGGGGCGTTGTGACGGGGCTCCTGCTGGGACTGCTGCGATGGCGCTGATGCACGCAGGCGAGCGGTTGCACGATTCGATGCATGATCAGCTGTGCTTCCCGCAGCAGAAGGCGTGGATCCGCCCGCGTTGTGGCCCGAGTTGGCCGCCTCGATCGGCTGTGGGCGAAGCGCCAAAGGGGAGGTTTGAGGGCGTCTCAGGTTTGTTGATAAAAAGCAGGTGAGGATCGGACCCCAGCGCCCCAATTTGATTGCCGCCTCGCTCTCAATGTCCGAATGAGGACTTGCCCACCCGTGCCTTCTCTCTCCACACCCAGTCCCCTACTCTCCTCACGTACCGCGCGCCTGGCACCCGCCTTGGTAGCGCCTCCCTCTCCTCCACCGCCGCTCGCCGCTCGCCGCTCCGCGCGGGCGCGGCGCAGGAGCGCAGTGGTCGGCGCCCCCTGCCGTGCCGCTCCACGCAGGCGGCCACCATCCGCAGGTCGCGGTCGAGCTTGAGGCGGTGGACCACCACGGCGCGCTGCCACCAGTTCTGGCAGCTCGGCTCGAAGCCGGCCCTGCGGCTGCCGTTCGCCCACAGCCGGTTCCAACCCGGCAGGCTGATCGACGGGCCGATGGCAAACGCCCTCTTGCCGCGGTGGCCGAGCCGCAGCCAGCGTGCCGCCACGGCATCCTCGTGGCCGGCGTACAGGCCCATGCGGCTCGCGCGGAGAGCGGGCGCGCTCGCGGCGATCCACCGAACCACGTCCGTCGTGAAGCCGTACAGCTGGCCCGCCCACTTGCAGAAGCGGCGGTCGGCCGCGTCCACGCGGTAGGCGCCGTTCTCTGGCTCGCAGCTACCGCACATCGGCGCGAGCTCCCGGCTATTGTATGCGCAGTCGAGGACGACCCGGTCGGCCCCGACGATCCGCACGCCAAACTGCCCGTCGCGCACGCCACGAAGCGGCTCGAGCGCTCGCAGTAGCACGGGGAGATTGACAAACGAGTCGTCGTCCGCCTTTGCCACCCACGAAGGGGCGGCGGCGGCACGCCAGCAGTGCGCCACCGCGACAAAGTACTCGAGCGTCTTGCCCGCGTTCATGTTCTCGCGCACGCGCAGCAGCAGCAGGTCCCCATGGCGGCGCTCCTCCTGAGCCAGCGCAACCTCTGCTGCGCTCGTCCCGTTGCCGCCCGATTCCCCGAGCACAAAGACATGGGACATGCGCCCTGCCGGCCCAGCGGGGGCAAGCACGAGAGACCGAATGTCGCCGCGCCGCGCCTCCGCCCCAGGGGCAGCCATCGAGAAGATTCCAAGCAGCAGTAGGAGGCTGTCTGGGCGGTGCGTGGGGCATGCGGCGGGACGCGGCGGGTCGGTGAAAGCCTGCGCGTGGTGGTCGGGCCAGTAGCTGCAGCAGTGAGCGGCACAGACCGCAGCGCGGCAGTCGTGCTGGCAGGTCGGCGGGCAGCCAAGCAGCTCCTCCTCGGGCGGGCAGGGGAGAGCCCCCTCTCTCGAGGGCGCGACCGAGGCGGAGGAACTGACGGCAGAGGCCATATATGTATCGCGCTGCATTCTTCCAGAACGCCCGACGCGCAAACTTGGCGTGACAGGAGACTATCTCTCACGTACGTACTCTCTCTCTCTCTCTCTCACATACTTGCGTGCGTCATCGTCACGGGAGGCAACCAACGGAGCAACCTCTTCAATCATTACGTCAGCAACAAGAACCAGCCTCAACACCTACAACGCGCGGGCGCCGGACACACCCCGACCGCCGACTGCAACGCCGCCGCCGCTTGGGTCCGTGAGCACGCCCCTCCCCGGTCCCCCGGCTCGTACGTCACCCACGCCGTCGGCACCAACACCGCCGCCAGCCGGATCCAGCAGGCCCGCCACCTCGACGACGTCCCCGGCGCCGCCCACATACAGAGAGCAGCGGTCGCCGCGCTACACAACGCGTGCGGCAACCCCTCGGCCGCCATCGACCCTCTCAAACTCAACACGACTCCGGCCGCCGACTTTAACCTTTGCTTCACCGACGGCATCTCGCTCGAGGCCTTCAAACGATTGCAACTGCATCACCAGGAGTTCCCTGCGAGTGAGGAGTACCGAGACCTGTGCCGGGCACCAATCCTCTTTGGCATGGAGGCGTTTGCCAGCACGCCGCGGAAGCCGGGCACCCTCGATGGTGCACGCGGAGCCTGCTACGCCGTCGTGTCCGCCGTGCTCATCACCTGCCGTCCCGTCGGCACGCAGAAGTACACGTACGACCAGATGGTGCAACGGGCCGCCGCCTGTGCTTCGTCCCCCGACGGTTTCATGGCTTTGTTTCGCGAGCTCGTCCTCTCCGCCTCCGCTCCCCCCGCACGGCCCGAACAAGAGGGAGACCGGCCCGTCTCCGACTCCAACCGGACGCAGACGCTGGAGGAACAGACCAGGTCCGCTTTCTACTGGGCGAACCGACGCGAGTGGAAGAAGGCATGGAACTGCTTCAACTCGCTCAAACCTGCAGACGGCCGGAGCCGAAAGGTCGTCGACGAATTCATCAACAAAACTCCGCAGGCCAAGGCACCACCCGAACATGCGATGCGCGACGAACCCGGATATGAGGCGGGCAAGTACAAGATCAAGCCAGAGATCTTTGCCAGGTTCGTTCGCAGCTGCAACGTCACCAGAGCTGGAGGCCCTAACCACGTCGACTACGACTTTGTGCGCATCATCACCGACAGCGAACGTGGCTCCAAGTGCCTCCTTAACTACTTCACCGCATTCTCGTGGGGCGTCGAACACCCTCGGTTGCAGCAGCTCGACGCCGACCTCAAAGCCTTGTGCCTCGTCAAGGAAGACGGCTCCCTCCGCCCCCTCGGCATGTGCAGCATCATGCCGCGTTCGGCTGAGCGCTGCATACACATGCAAGAGTGCCCCTGGATGGAGCAGTACCTCACCTCGCCGCTGCCCGAGGATCGTCACGCCCGAGATGTGGCCATCGCCAACGCCGCCGCCGCCCTCACCGACGCCGAGCATACCCTCAAAACCACCGTCGACCGCGTCCGGGCCGGAGGCGGCACCGACAGCGACATCACAGCGGCCAGAGACGCCCTCGACGCCGCCTACCGAGCCGACGCAGCTGCACGGCAACCAGTCAACTTCCCTGTCAACTATGGGTATTCGAAGAATGGAACCCATCTCGTGTGCCACACAGTCACTTCGTGGCACACCCTGCGACCTGGGAATGCGTCGTGTTAATCCGAGCGCGTTCTCCCAGGAAACACTTGTTCGATAAAAAAGAAATTATCGCGCCGGAAATTGTCCCCCTTCATCGGCTATCATCTCACGTCCCCCCCAGTCAGTCCGTTGGTCCGCACCTCCATGCCGCCGCAGTTCATGTTCTGCACCTTCACGAGCATCCTCGCCGCGGCGACCGCGCGCCAGAGCGTCTCAAGCCCAGCAGTCCGCGTCGGATCCCCTCTTCCTCCCGGATCATGCATGCACGCCGGCGGCGGGTGGCGCGCGAACGACGGAGTCGCGAACGCTTCTCGAGTCCCAACCAAGGAGTCTGTCAAGACCGATGACCCCCAAGATGTGGCGTCCACCCCTCTCACGGCTCTTGAGGCGCCCATCGGCCTTACTGCCCCGCTCGGCCCGTCAACGACCAAGCCAGCGGACGGCGGGCGAGCGGGAGCGCCCCGGCACGTCCTCTTCCTCCAGAGCGACCGGGCCGTCGATGCGCGTCTCGAAGTAGCGCTGGGGGAGATTGCGTGGCCTGCAGAGCTCCGCTCCACCCGGGTCTCCGACTCGAACTCGATCGAGTCCGATCTCTTGTCATGCGGCTACGCCGACTGGCAGCACGTCAGCGCCTCCTTTGACCGCGCCGACTCCTCGCTGCTCGAGGTCGAGCAGGGAGAGCTCGAGCGGGCGGATCAGGCACTCGGCGACCCGCAGCCCCACGCCACTGCATCGGCTGCCAAACCGCCACCCCTCTGGCCCTGCCCACCCGTCCTGTCTGCCCTGTCTTGGCCTGTCTGCCCTGCCTGCCTGAACACCTGCTGAGCTGCCTCTGGCAATGCAGGCGTCGCTGCCCATCCCTGCCCAGTGGTCCGAGACTGAAGCGGTGCCCATGCCTCTGCCGGTTCCGCCAAAGACCGATGTGGCGGAGGAGCATTCGCTGCGCTGCTCCAGCCTCCTGGGGAACTTGCCCTTCAGCACGCCACCGGCGCTGGAGGAGCTAGCGCGGCCCGCGGAGGTCCGCGCCACTCAGATCGCCGACTCGAAGACGGCCGAGTCGACCGATCTCTTCTCCATCTCAAGTGACCTTGCCGGCTCGCGGCCACGCTGCGCCTCCTTCATCTGCGCCGACTCCTCCACGGGCGAGGTCGAGCAGGGCGAGCTGGAGCGTGCGGACCAGGCGAGCCGCGCCGCAGCATCGCGCACCGCCAATCCGTCACCCCGCTCGCCCTGCCTGCCACACGGCATGCCCTTGTGCGCCCTGCCAAGCCACTCGCTTCTTTCACATCTCGCGCCTTTCCCTGCCTGACGGTCTGTCGCACTCGCCTGCCTTTCCGCAGGTCAACACGGACATGGCCAGCAGCTCTCCCTGGCCCCTCCTCATGGGTGCCCTCATGGGGTGCCTGGGCTTCTCTGTCGTGGCGCTGTCGTGGAGCGGCTCCTCGGCCACCAAGACCGGCTCCGACAAGGTCGACGGCCAGAAGCGCTCGAGGCGCGCGAAGGAGACCGAGGTCATGGCACCGACTGGCGGCGGCAGCACCGCTACCGCCTGTGTTTGCCGCACTCCGATCTTCTTCTACTTCTTGTCCTTTGTCGCAATGGTCGGCCTGTGCGGTGTGACCTACGAGGCCTCAGCCGCGAGGTACACTCGAGGGCGTGGCGCCATGTCCGGTCTCCTACCCGTCAACAGCATCGTGCCCGAGTCGTGTCCCGACGCTGCTGGGCAGGCCCAGAGGCTGGTCGAGACGTGCGGCGGCGGCAGTTGCGGCGGCGGCTGTGGCGGCGGCGACGCAAGCAGCCGGCAGGCGACGGAGGCGGCGCTCTTGACAGCGCGCCGCACTCAGCGCTCGCTCCAGAGCGCCGGCACGCACGGCGCGATCATCGGACGGAAGGGGCGGACGGTGCAGACCTTTGTGCACCCCTCGAGCGCGTCCGAGCTCATTGGCGCTGCGACCGCCCCTTCAACGGCCGCTGTCGAGGCGAACCTCGCCGTCGGCGGGGCTGAAGTCAACGGCGAAGAGCATGGCCTCGCCGCACAGATCCACGCGAGCAAGGGGCGAGTCGGCACCGGCGGTGGGAGTGGCTCCTCCCCACCCGGCCTCGCCATGGGCAGCACCTCCAGTCCCGGCGCTGACGTCGACGTGGTCATCGACCCTTCGTCGTCGACTTCGTCGGGCGTGACCGCGACTGTCCGCGCGAGCGCCACGGCACACCCCATTGACACGCGGGCGGCGACGGCCGGTGCGGCGTCCGCCGTGCAGGACAGCAACACGAGTCGGCTCACATCTCCCAAGGCGCTTCCCTCTGGCGTGGCCGCGACTTGCCAGATGCGGCTTTCAGAGCCCATCCTCCCCTGCCGCGCCGACGTCGGCGAGGCGCTGGGCACGTCGTGGGCCACCGGGCAGCAGCAGCTTCGGCCTACGCAGGGCGAGAAGCTGCTCCAGACCGGCGCGCGCGGCTTCGTGCGCGCCATCGTCGACAAGATCAGCACCTTAGTGACGGTGACGCAGCAGGGCCCGCTGCGCTCTGAGCGCATGGCTTGCGCGGACCTGTCGCAGATGAACGCGGCGGAGGGCGCCGTCCTGACGGCGGCCGTGCTGCCCTTCGCCCACGAGTGCGGTGCGGCGGCGGCCGCGACCACCAGCGGCCCCATCGCGGGCGACACGGATCACGGCCGGTTCGACCTCAGCCAGTGGCTCAGCCGCTGCTGCGGCGGCGGCAGTTGCGGCGGTGGCGTTGGCGGCTCCAGCGGCGGCGGCGGCGGCGGCGGCGGCTCTGGCGGCGGCGACGCCAGCAGCCGGCAGGCGACGGAGGCGGCGCTCTCGACAGCGCGCCGCACCCAGCGCTCGCTCCAGAGCGCCAGCACGCACGGCGCGATCATCGGACGGAAGGGGCGGACGGTGCAGACCTTTGTGCACCCCTCGAGCGCGTCCGAGCTCATTGGCGCTGCGACCGCCCCTTCAACGGCCGCTGTCGAGGCGAACCTCGCCGTCGGCGGGGCTGAAGTCAACGGCGAAGAGCATGGCCTCGCCGCACAGATCCACGCGAGCAAGGGGCGAGTCGGCACCGGCGGTGGGAGTGGCTCCTCCCCACCCGGCCTCGCCATGGGCAGCACCTCCAGTCCCGGCGCTGACGTCGACGTGGTCATCGAGATCGACGTGGTCATCGACGGATTGGCGAACGCTTCTCGAGTCCCAACCAAGGAGTCTGTCAAGACCGAGGACCCCAAGTTTGCGGCGTCCACCCCTCTTGCGGCTTTTGCGGCGCCCATCGGCCTCGCTCCGCTCGGCCCGCCAACGACCAAGCCGGCGGACGGCGGGCGAGCGGGAGCGCCTCGGCACCTCCTCTTCCTCCAGAGCGACCGGGCCGTCGATGCGCGTCTCGAAGTAGCGCTGAAGGAGATTGCGTGGCCTGCAGAGCTCCGCTCCACCCGGGTCTCCGACTCGAACTCGATCGAGTCCGATCTCTTGTCAAGCGGCTACGCCGACTGGCGGCGCGCCTGCGCCTCCTTTGACCGCGCCAGCTCCTCGCTGCTCGAGGTCGAGCAGGGAGAGCTCGAGCGGGCGGATCAGGCACTCGGCGACCCACAGTCCCACGCCACCGCATCGGCTGCCAAACCGTCACCCCTCTGGCCCTGCCCACCCGGTCTGCCCTGCCTGCCTGAACACCTGCTGAGCCGCCTCTCGCAATGCAGGCGTCGCTGCCCATCCCGGCCTTGTGGTCCGAGACTGAAGCGGTGCCCATGCCTCTGCCGGTTCCGCCAAAGACCGATGTGGCGGAGCAGCGCAGCGACGACTGGCTGCGCTGCTCCAGCCTCCTGGGGAACTTGCCCTTCAGCACGCCACCGGCGCTGGAGGAGCTAGCGCGGCCCGCGGAGGTCCGCGCCACTCAGATCGCCGACTCGAAGACGGCCGAGTCGACCGATCTCTTCTCCATCTCAAGTGACCTTGCCGGCTCGCGGCCACGCTGCGCCTCCTTCATCTGCGCCGACTCCTCCACGGGCGAGGTCGAGCAGGGCGAGCTGGAGCGTGCGGACCAGGCGAGCCGCGCCGCAGCATCGCGCACCGCCAATCCGTCACCCCGCTCGCCCTGCCTGCCACACGGCATGCCCTTGTGCGCCCTGCCAAGCCACTCGCTTCTTTCACATCTCGCGCCTTTCCCTGCCTGACGGCCTGTCGCACTCGCCTGCCTTTCCGCAGGCCGACAACACGGACATGGCTAGCAGCTCTCCCTGGCCCCTCCTCATGGGTGCCCTCATGGGGTGCCTGGGCTTCTCTGTCGTGGCGCTGTCGTGGAGCGGCTCCTCGGCCACCAAGACCGGCTCCGACAAGGTCGACGGCCAGAAGCGCTCGAGGCGCGCGAAGGAGACCGAGGTCATGGCACCGACACTGCTCAAACTCGCGCTCGTGCCGGCCGCCGGTGACAAGCTCGTGCTCAAGCTCTCTCCTCCGCCGCCGCTTGCTGACAAGCAGGTGCGCGTTAATTTGCGGTGGCTGAGGGAGGGGGTATGCACACGCGCACCGCTGCAACGCACGCAACGCTGCGCCTTCCCTGCAAGACTAGCCTCTCGCGTTCTGTGGCTGACAGGCGTCTCTGGCGGACAACACGACCGTCATCGACCCCGGCGGAGGCAACGCCGTCGGCATCCCCTCCGAGCCCGTCTCGCTCAAGGATGGCATCGACACCGGCACCGGCGGCACCGGCACCGCCAGCACCGGCACCGGCAACGTCCCGTCCGAGGGCGAGCCCGGCCCGCTCAAGGACGGCATTGACGCGGGCGGCGGCAACGTCGAGGGCGAGTTTTCGCCGATGACGTCCTCCGCGAAGGTCGGAATCGTGCCCGCTGACGACGGCCGCATCACGCTCGTCATCTCCGCGTCGGTGTCGCCTTCGCTCCCCGGAGCCAAGGTACGCGTGCGCACGCTAGGATTGTGATCGTGCGTCTACCGACCCACCCCTTGACCCACCCCGCTTTCATTGCGTAGGGCGACGCCGACTGGACTGTCTCGGCCAAGGAGGTTCCAGGGAAGAAGCCCGCCACGGCGGTGAGCGCCTCGCACGCTGCGGTGCATCGCATAGCCTCAACTATTGACGCACCCACCGCTTGCGCGTGCGCAGGGCATCCCCGACAGGACCACCCCGTCGAACCCGCGCCGCAAGAAGGGGCGCAAGGGCGCGTCCGCCCCGATCGTCCGCACCAAGAGCATCGCCCCGGTCGGCGGCAACAACCGGTTCGGGGCCCTGCTCGGAATGGACGGCAACGAGGGCATCCTCGGCGGCACCGGCAAGGTGCCCCGCGGCTCCACGCCGTCGACCACAGACTCGGTGCTCGCCGCCTGCATATACGCGGCCTCCTCCCCCGCTCGCCGCTCAGACCGCCAGTCTCCCGCCCTCCTGTTCAGGGCGCGACGGTCGACGTCGAGACGACCACGATCACCACGGAGGGCTCTGCCGCCGGCCGGTTCTCGTGGCCCAAGTTCTGCCCGTCCTACTTGCTCCGCCTCTTTGGCATCCTCGCGCTGCTCTGCCTCGGAGCCGCGTTTGCGCTCTCCTCGTACTCTGCCACCTCCGCGCTTCTCTCCTCGCAGCGGTACGACTGGCCGTGGCCGACATCGCCTCCCGCAACCGTCGCAAAGCCGTTCACGCCGGCATCGCCCAACGGCTTCTGCGAGGTTGGCGGCAACGCCACCTGCTCGTTTGCAGCCATCGTGTCGTCGGACAGCGCGCCCACCAACCACCCGGTGCGTGCTACAAAAGTATCCGCGCCGCGCCAGCTCGTGACCAACAGCCCGCGCGCTGTTCAGGGCGGGCACGAGGACGGGAGCTCGTGGGGAGCACTGATGGAAGCGATCGACGAGGTGGTGGGCGAGCCGTTGCACCTGATTGGCGAGCCGCCAGCGTCCATCATCGAGGACGTTTACGAGAAGCAGCCGGTGAGCGCCCGTCTGGTTCTTTCTGTGTGCGAGCCTTGTAATCCGCTGACGGATGCCTGTGTGTTTGCGTGTAGAGCGAGTCCGACTTGGTGACCGTCCCGGCCTCGCGCAACAGCACGGAGCGCGAGGGCGAGCCCTTGGTCAACTTTGTCGGTTCCGTCTACGGCAACAGGACGGGGATCATCGCTCGGGGGCGCAAAACCGTCCTGCCTGTGAATGACACGCCGCCGAAGTTGCGGTCCGCCGACGCTGGAAAGCTCGGGATGGCGTTGCGGAAGCTGGTTGATATTGGCCTCGGCGCCTGGGCCCCCGTGTTGCTTGGGCGCACGCGCGTGAAGCCGGCCGCCCTCGTCCGCGTGGGCGCCGCCGCGCTGCTCGTTGGCAAAGTGGCCGCGCAAAATGGCACCGAGCTCCCGCACAACCACACGTCGTGCCAGGATGATCCGGACGGCGTCCTCACCGCCTTCGGCGGCTGCGCTACCGGCGTGACCCTTGGCTGCGACACGGACCTGAACACCGTCAACCCCGGCGCTGCGCCGGTGGGCACGCTCGTCTCGCTGCTCTGCCCGGCGAGCTGCGGCAAGTGCGCGTCGCCGTCGCCGTCGCCACCGGCAGTGCTCTGCCAGGATGATCCGGACGGCGTCCTCACCGCCTTCGGCGGCTGCGCTACCGGCGTGACCCTTGGCTGCGACACGGACCTGAACACCGTCAACCCCGGCGCTGCGCCGGTGGGCACGCTCGTCTCGCTGCTCTGCCCGGCGAGCTGCGGCAAGTGCGCGTCGCCGTCGCCGTCGCCACCGGCAGTGCTCTGCCAGGATGATCCGGACGGCGTCCTCACCGCCTTCGGCGGCTGCGCTACCGGCGTGACCCTTGGCTGCGACACGGACCTGAACACCGTCAACCCCGGCGCTGCGCCGGTGGGCACGCTCGTCTCGCTGCTCTGCCCGGCGAGCTGCGGCAAGTGCGAGTCGGAGGAGAGCATTCCCCCATCACCATCAGCACCATTAGAGTGCGTGGACCAGCCAGATTCGATTATACGGGAAACAGCATTGGGCTACTTTCTGGATCACATCTTCACTTGCGCAGATGTGGTTGCAGATGGGTTTTGCATCAACGCAATCGGATTTTCACTTTGCTGCGCTTCGTGTTCAATCGCTCCACCTCCTCTACCTCTGCTGCCGCCTTTGACAATACCACCGCCTCTCGTCCCGCTTCCACCGCAGCTGCCACCTCTACCCCCACTTCTGCCAGGTGGTGAAGATGTGGTTATGAACAAAGAGCAGCTTCGAGCCTTTTGGGACGCTGCTGTGGAGCATGGCCGTGACGCCTCCATCTTTATTCCTTCCGGAATGCAGATTCGCATGGACGGGTCGCCTTTGATTTGCAACGCCAATGTCCATATGACGATCCGAAGTAGCCAGGGGGGCGCGACGCTTGACGGGGAGGGTCGTTCGCAGATTATTGTTCTCGGTGTGAACTGCAGTCTTTCGCTTCGGCGGATGCACCTCACCAATGGCTACGCGCCAGGCCAATTGGGCGGTTGTATCAGTGCAACTGGCGCTGATCCTTACAACACCTCCATCTCCAACACCTCCATCTTTCTTTCAGACTCATCCTTTTCTCATTGTTTTGCAAGAAGACAGGGGGGCGCCCTCATGTTTGCCTTTGACCGGCCACGGGAGCAAGGAGAACTCCTCGTGGAAAATACCAGCTTCTACAATTGCAGCACTGCCAAAACCTCTGCTGTCGCTCGAGCGACAGCGGCGGTGACGGCGACGAGGCGACCCACATGCTGCTCTACCTAAACACGGCGACGTGGGCCGGCGATGGCGCCGAGGCGCTCGCAGAGCAGGTGCGCGCCGCGCGCCGTGCCAAGCTGCCGATCGTGATGGCGCACGAGAACGACGCCGTCCGCAACGGCTGCATCTTTGGCCACTTTTTCGAGGTGACGCCGCGCGACCTGATCGCCGACGGGCTGTACCACGACCTCGCCGTCGGCTGCCACTCGGGCCCACACCGGCAGGTGTCGCTCGCCCTGCTCGCAAAGGCGCTCGGCGCGACCGAGCAGACGGCCCAGTCGCGCGTGCGCCGAGTCACCGCCCTCGCTCTATCGATCCGCGGCTCCTCTTCAATGACGGAGCCGTCGAATGGCGACGACGTTGGGCGGGAAGCGTCAGCGACGCAGACCGTCTGAGCGGAAGATCCTCCAGAGCACAGCACACACTCCGCGCGCACACACAGTCGCTCGCGCGTCCCACACGCCACAGTCGCCCGGCCGGGGCCCCCACTCGAGCGCTCACTTTGATCTTTGTGGTCCCTTTGTGTCTTGTGTATGTGTGGTCTGATAGTATATTGCGATCACCCCCCATGGGTGCCCTCTTTCTAGTCATTCTAGTGAATGAATTGACTCGTCCCAGTGGATGTGTCCGATTTCCGACGTCCCTGTCAAAATGTGCGTGACGTCCTATCCTTTGTAATCGTCTAGAGACGCTGGATACATGAGCACGCGTCACGCTAAACACAAAACACCCAACGCTATGGGCCCCGGGCCGCGGTGACCTGCCACCCAAACCGGCCCAACAGCTTCTGCGACACCAGCGCGCCCGCAACCAAGCCGGCGTAGCCCGCCGCGATGCGCCGCGCGTGAGAGCGCCTCCGCGTCGCAGCGCGCGCGCCGACGTGCGCGCCGGCGACGGCAAACACGTTCGAGAGCCAGAGGGACGCGAGCACCGACGAGGCCAGCGACGCTCCTGCGGCGGCGCCGACCCACGCGCCCACGTGCGTGGCGACCGACGCGGCGGCGCACTCTGCCAGCCGTGGCAGCGCGGGTGCGCGTGCCTGCTGGTGGCTAGGCGCGTGCCTGCCAGGCTCGTCCCCATCCTCGCTGGGGGCAGTGGCGGCCGCCGGGGCGGGGAGGCGGGCGATGGCGTCCCCTCCCGCCGCCAGCAGCACCAGCGCCGCCGAGCGGAGCGGCGCTGCGAGCGGGGCGCGGCCGATCCACTCTGCGAGGCCCGCCTCAGCGCAGCTAGCCGCGAGCCGGAGCCGCCCGCCCCTTGCGCAGAGGGACGGCTCGAGGCCGGCGGCGAGAACTCCGCCGAGCGCGGCGCCTATTCAGTGGTGCTCATTCAGTGGTGAACCACCGTCAATCAAGTCGGACAAGCGTAACTTCTTCAACCTCACGGCACAGCCCCTGGACGCAGACGGCAACCCAGACCCGAGCGGGTGCGGCAGGACTGTCTGTTTTGAGTGGGCGCGTAAGCGCAATCCGGCACTCATCCCGGCGATGCGGTTGGTGTTTGGTCGACGCAGCTTCCTCCGTCTGTGCAGCGCGGACGGACCGCTCCAGGACCCTCGGGCAGCCGGACCGAGCGACGCCGACGCACCGTGGGACCCGCTCAGCCTGGAGCCGCCCGGCGAGGACGCCGACGGCTACATCCGGTCGTGCTGCGGCGGCGCCCAAGGGCGCGCCTTCTCAGGGATGTGCACCACCGGAGTCAAACACGAGATCGACAACATTGTGCAAAAGAATTCTTAAGAGGGAAGCCTCTCTCACAGCACACTGGCACGACAAGGGCGCAGACTGCAAAAGAATTCTGCGGTAATACCTACCTACCTCTCACCTACCTACCTCTCACAGCAGACTGGCACGAACTAGCACCACAAAAGGCACAGCAAAAGAAGAACCCGACTACGCGCTTCGTTTCGTTCATCGACGACATGGTTCAAAACGACACCGTGGCAGAGGCCGTCAAGTCTTACTGCGGAGAGGGCGGGACACTCGAGGTGCAAAAAGATGTCGCTGGCAACCTCGACAACGAGGAGAAGTGCATCATCTACTCTCCGAGCGGCGACCTCGACTGCGTACCCCCCTTCATGGTCGGCTCGCCGCACCACCGAGACGAGGACGGGAACCTCACCGGACGCGAGGCTTGCTTCAAAATCGTCGGAACCTACCTCGGCGACACAGAGGCTGCCTCGGAGGCGATTGGCAAACGACTCGCCAAAAACCTCCGTCCGCTCGACTTCATCGACACGCTCGAATGCACCGAGGGCATTCAGAACGTTGGACACCTCAAGTACAACCTCATCACCCGTCAGGCCTGCCCAAAGACGAAGTACATTTGCTCCGTCACGCCACCAGAGATCAGCGAGGGCCCGGCCATCGACGGGAGCAACCGGATCCGCAAATCGTGGGAACTACTCACGGAGGCAGAGGATACTCCTGCCAAATACAAAGACCTGGGCTGGAGGCAGGCCATGCTCCCTACCATCACGGGAGGCTCCGGGGTCGACACGGGCGTCACATCAGTCGGCGTGCCCAACGACACGGGTGGGGGCCGCACGGGCGTGCGCGGCCCCGCCGAGGCCTACTACATCTCCCTCCTCAAATGCTGGTCAAAGCTTGTGGCCTGCAGCCCGGACCTCGCCGAAGCCGAGCGCTCCGGCGGGTACGGTGCACGAGACGCCGCCGTCAACTTGTACAGAGCCGCGCTCTCGAGGCGAGACGAGGTGGCCTCCATCCGAGCCGCGCGCGACGACAACATCTACTACACCTTGCGCGGCGGCAAAATCTCTGAGTTCTACCCCAAGGGCTTCAGCCTCCCCACTTCTGAGTCTCTTCCAACACCGGAGTCAGTCATCGATGGCACTTGCAAATCAGGAAGCCCGTACGCGCGGGCGCTTGCTGCCATCGAGACTATCTGGAACTGGTTCGATCTGCAGAAGGAGTGGCGCGCCCTCGACGACTACACGGCAGCCAACTGGCAGCCCGGCGACACCAAAATACGTCTACGCGAGTCCATCCGCTACGTCTCAACTGCGCAGCCTTACGCGGGGCGGTGGCTCGACACAAAACTCGACGGCAGCAACGCCACATGCATTCCAGACGACATATTCATCGGCGAGCTTCAGCGCCGAAACGGCCTTCACCTCTCGCAGTGCCGCTCGACTGTCACGCGGGCACTCGAACTTGGGGACACAGTCGGTGGTGCAAAGGACTACCATGGCGACTGGTTCCTCAACAACGCCGCCCGGCGGCGCCCACACGACGGCGTACTTCGCGCCTGGTATGATTGTGTCCACGCCGTCTCCGTCTCCCGGCCCGTTATGGGAGATGCCGAAAAAACAGAACTCACCAAACAGTTCAACGAGGGCTATCATGAGGGGTAGCTGCTCCGGGTACAACCTCGAGGTGCACAAGCGAGAAGGCCCCGGGCGCACCGTCCTTGTCGAACTTGACCAACACGCCGCCGGTGAGTCTATCGTCAACTACGATGCGGCCGGTCTCGCCGCAGCGAGGGTGGTTCGGCTGTATGACTCTGATGGTGGTGCCGACGCCCGCCTCCATAGGGCGCCGCAATACCGAACCCCCGAGCCGCAAAGCGAACCGCCCCCCCCCCGCAGCCTTGCCGTAGCCGTTTCGATGTAATAAAAGTAAGTGATGCGGAGATCGAATCTGCGCAGCCGGCCCACAAGAGCGCCGCCCCAACCCGGGGGCAAAGACGAGATCAGCGAGGTCAAACTTTGGACCCCCCTCCGGGGTGGCTTGCCCGTTGGGGTCGGCCGCGCCGACACCGGAGGCAACCCCGGCTCCGTTGGAGACAAGTTCGCCTTCGGCAACACCGAAGAGCGCGCCCGCCTTGCAAACATGGGCTGCAAGCAACGCGGGTTCCGTGGTCAACGGGCGTTCGACCACACCACCGGCCAAGGCTACGTCAAGTCGCAGCGTGGCCACTACCATGATGGGATCTTCACCAAACGAAACAAGTTCATCCTGCTTCTCCACGAGACATTCGGCGGCGGCTTCTCGCCGCCAGCAGTTGCAAAGATCGACCGCCTTGCGCGCAAGGCTCAACGCTCGGGCGTTGACCGCACCGCGTACCCTCCCCACTCCCGCCTCTCATTTGTGTCACACCACGCGGAACGCATCTCCATCGCTTCGGTGAAGGGGGTGAACCGCGCCATCCTCGATCGCCGTGCAAAGCTCGCTTCCGAGCTCTCACGCCGCGCGTAGGGCCCTTAGGGGCCTAGAGCACCGACAACCCCCTCTCTCTTTTCGCTCCCACCTCCCAGTACTGTAAGCTAACAGTACGGCTCTACGTACTTGAGCACTTGAGCACTGGATAGGGTCGATTCCGGGGTGGATGTGCTGCGGCCTGCGCGCGAGCGTGCGTGTGTAAGGTTGTGTGTGTGTAACTCGCCGAGGCCCACACTTAGAAGAACGTACAGCCCCGACTCCTACCCCCACAGACATGCCGCGCGCCGAGTACTAGAGTGGACATCTCAAGCGCTCCCGCCCCCGCACTATGCTCCTTGGACAACTCCCGTGTGCGCGGCCGTGGCAGCCCCCGCCCAATCTTCCCTCTCCCTTTGGACGAAGGGGGGGAGGGGGGGCGGGGGCGCCGCGCCCTCTCACCCATTCGGCCAATGCTCGGGCGCAAAGAAGCGCGGGTGCGCGTCCTCCTCTTGCTGTGGCACCACGGTCACCGTGCTGGCGGCCGACGCAAGGCGGCTGGTCGAGGCGACGGCTCCGAGGCACTCGCGGCCGAGCGCCTCGGCCCTGCACGCCGCCTCCTGGTCGGCCTCGGCGCCAACCCACACATACGCGCCCTCTGCGGTCAGTAGCACATAGATGCCGCTCACCTCCAGATCGTCCGTATCGTACATTGCGTACGGCTCCCAAGCAGCCCCGGGGCGGTAGGCAAAGAGCTCCGCCGCCGGCCCCTCGCCGCCGCCGCCGCCGCCGCCGCCGCCGCCGCCCTCGCCCGCGTCGCTGCTAGCCGCGGCGCTGGCAGGCGCCTCGCCGCGGTCCCGCGCCGTCGCCAGCGGGCTGGGGCCCTCTCGGTGTGTCGGCAGCGGCGCGTGCGTGTCCGGGGCGGCGCGGACGCTGAGCAGCTGGTTGCCGCTCGGCTGGCGCAGCGGCACGTGCAGCGGCGCGCCGCTCGGGAGCCGCACCTTCGAGCAAGGGGCGGGAGGAGAGTCGACGCGCCGGGGCCAGGCCGGAGGCGCGCGAGCGTGGGGCGCCCGAGGTCCGCCGAGGGTGTGCCTGAGAGTAGGTGGGCCGCGCGCGGGCAGCGCCGCACCTCGATGGCGGGGGCCTGCAGCACGGGCGACTTGCCGACGCCGTACTGCTCGTCGTACTTTGCCAGCTTGGCCGGCACGGGCCCCTCTCCGCCGATCGCCGCCCAAAAGGCGGCTGACTCGTCGCCCTGCCGCTCGAGCGACACCTGGCAGGTCGAGGGAGCGCGGGCGGGTGGCGTGCGGGGAGCCCCAGCCCCCCTCCCCTCCTACCTGCAGAATGGCGCCTCCTCATGCGCCCCGAGGCTGACCGATCTACCTCACCCGTCGCCTCTCGCCCCCTCCGCTCCGACCCATCCTCCTCGCCGCCCCGCGCGATCTCGGGCGATCTCGGGCCGCGCCGCTGTCTCGGGGCGATCTCGCGCTATCTCGGGCGATCTGCCTCGGCCGACGCGTGCTCGAAGCGCTGCAGCAAACGGGTCCACTCCCGGGCGGCCGCCTGCGCAGCGCGCAGCGGGGTGAGGGCGTCACGCCCGCGAGCGACCGGCCTCTGCAACCGCGGCCAAGCTGGCTCGGGCGCGCGCGCGCGCGTGCGTGCGTGCGTGATGCGTGCGGTGCGTGTGCGCGCATGACTGCACCTCATAGTCGGGGTGCGCGTGCGCGCCCACCCACAGGTAGAGCGCCTCGCGCGTGTGCAGCACAAACGCGGTGCGCGGGTCGAGCTCCTCGTGCGAGACGGCCGAACCCTCCACCAGCCGGGCGCGGGGCGCCGTGTAGAAGGGGGCCATGCCTGCGGTCGTGCAGACGCCAACCTCAGGGCGGGAATGCGGTGTTGCGCAGAGTGTTCAGAGCACCGCGTGAATGCACGGGCTACGAATACAACGAGTACCACGGAAGACGGCGGGGTACGTGCCCTCTCGAGCGCTGGCTGGAGTCCACGACCACGTATATTCCGCTTCTAGGGGTGCGGTGCGGTAGAGCCGGCCGGCGGCGGGCGGCGCGCCGTCGGTGAGCTTCTCCTGCAGGCCGAGCAGCGCGGCGATGAAGCCCGAGTTTGGCGAGGTGACGCCGCGGCCGGCCTTGCAGCGTGCAAACGCGTCGTTGAAGGGGAGGCGGTGCCGCCACATGAGGTAGGCGATCACCATGGACGAGGAGCGCGAGACGCCCTAGTGGCAGCCAGCCAGTCAGTCAGTGGGACACACGTCCTAGCACGGACGACGGGGCACACGCACTCGCGGGACACACACGGGGGCATGGCACACGAGGCGGTGTGTGCGTTCTCAGGGAGAGGCGTCGCCACAGACCTGGTGGCAGTGCACAAAGACGCGGCCGCCGGCCTCGATCGAGGCGTCGATGTACTCGATCGCCTCGTAGAGGAGCGTCGAGATGTCCTCGCGCGGCGAGTCGTACAGGTGCAACGTCTTGTACGTGAGCGCGCCCGGGTGGTAGTCAGGGCACGCGACGCCGGCCGTGTTGAGGACGTGGGTCACGCCGTTCGAGAGCAGCAGCCGCAGGTCCGAGGCAACCTACGGGCGCGCGATCGCGCGATCGTGCGAGCGTGGCGCGCCCAGGGGCCATCGTCACTAGGGTCAGTTGGACCATCATCGCCACCTCCACCGGGTCCACTGTGATGGCTCCCACTGGTGCTTGTAGAACTACTCCCACTATCAGAAGGTGGTGGGCCCTCCCCTCTACCCTCCACTCTAGTGCTGCTGCCTCTATCCTACTCTCGCTGCCGCTACGCTGCTGCCGCCGCCGCTACGCTGCTGCCGCCGCCGCCGCGACTGCTGCTGCCGCTTGCTGCGCTGCCGCTTGCTGCGCTGCCGCTGACTGCGCTGCCGCTACAGCGCTGCGGCCCTGCACGCACCCCCTGCACGCACCGTGTTTGAGCCGAGGAAGAGGCGCTCCTCGATCTGCGAGCAAACGACGTCGAAGCGGCGCAGCTTGGCGACGCGGTGCTCGTGCTCGTCCTCCTCGATCTCGCCCTCGGCCCGCTTCTGCTCCGCTCGACCCACCTCCACCCTGGGCAGCATCGGCCTAGCGCCGCCGATGCCGCCCACCCCCGGCGGCTTTGGCGGCGCGGCGGCGGGGGCGGCGGCGCCGGGGCGGCGCCCAAAGCCTAGACGCGGGACAGAGCCGGGGGTTTGGGGCCGGGTGGGGCTGCAAGTGCCGCGGCCGCGCACGCCGATCGACGCGCCGATCTTGGGAACGCGCATGCCGGCGCCGCGCGCGCTCGGCGGCGGCACGGCGGCCGCCGGCGGTCTGGCCGTCGGCGGGTGCGCCACTTTGGCCTTTGCCACACCGCCGAGTCCAATCTTGGGGATGGGCGGTCGCCCGCCGCCGCCCGCCGCCGCGCCCTTCCCCGCTGTCCCGCTGCTCGAGCTCGCTGCAGCAGGCGCACCCGCGGCAGCGCAGTCCCCGCCGACGGGGGGGTCGCCTGAGGGCAGAGCTCAGCGTGAGGGAGAGAGGGGAGGTGTGGGTGGGAGGAGGGGAGAGGGGGAGGAGGGGCGGGGGGGGGGGGGGGGCAACTGCCGTCCGCCCCGGCGAGGGAAGGCAGCAGGCTCCACCCGAGCTCGGAGCAGCCGAGGGCCCCCTGGCGCCGGCGGTGGTGCGGGGTAAAGGGGGGAGGGCGGCGGGGGAGGTAGGGGGCGGCAGGCCGGGTCCAGGGGCGGGGGCGGGGGCAAGGCCCCTCCTCCCGGTGCCCCCGCAGGGGCGCCAGCAGGGGGTTGTGCCCCCCCCCCCCCCTGGTGGTGGCCGCCGCGACGGCCGCGCCATCCTTGTACCCGCCCCCGCCCGCGACCGCGCAGCAGAGCGGCACGAGCCCCGTGCCAGCGCCGGCGTGCAGGTGGCGCGTGCGGCCCGAGGCGTCGGAGAGGAGGAAGCGCTCGAGCTCGAAGCACTTTGTCAGCGCGACCGCCTTAGTCAGCGCGACCGCCCGCGTCCCGTTCCATAGGTAGATGTCATGGCCGAGCGCCTCGCCGCCGTCCGACTCAAACGGGTAGGGGCCGCAGTCGTCGTAGCCCGAAAAGGCGGCGCCGAGGCCGCGGGGCGTCAGGGCGCGGTGCGACGTCTCGGCCAGCTCGGCCAGCGAGACGCTCGCGTCTTCGCCGCCGCCGCCAGAGCTGCTGCCCGCGCCGCCGCCGGCGTTGGCGTTGGCGCCCGCCGGCGTCGTCGCGGTCGGCTTGGCGGGAGACGCGGCGGCGTCGCGGCGGCGGTAGAGGTGGAGGACGATGTAGCTCTCCGTCGGATCGAACCGCCCCAGCTCTGACGGGCCGACTGCAGAGCAGGGAACCTCATCCGCGCTCGCGCCCGTGGGCGCGTGGCAGCGCCAGACCTTGATGTTGCTGCGGTAGGGACTGGGCGACGGCGCAGGGCCGGTCGGCGCGTAGGCGAGGAGCTCGCCGATGCCCATCGGCTGCCGGTCCACCGATAGGTGGGAACCCATCCAAACGCCCGGGCACCAACAAGCCGCCGACGCTAGCAGAGGGGCTCAAAAAAGTAAAAGCATGTTGTCTGTTTTTTTGCAACCCAGGGTTGTTTGTTTTCTTTCTTTCTTCCTTTGCAACCCAGGCGAGGCGGGGGGGCGCGCGGGTGCGGGGAGCGGTGCGGTACGGGCGTGTGCGTATCATGTGGCTACAGCAAGTGACCATGCGCTGTGTTTATTTACTTCGAAGGCGCTCTCAAAAAAAGTAACACGAAACCCCCAACGACGCGCGCGGGAACAACCCACCGGGAGGTCTCTCGCCTCCGCGTTCTCCTTCCCGGAGGCTCTGCTTGCGATGGCGGATCCGGACGCCCTCGCACAGATCAGTGCCGTGATGTCGGCTCCGACGCAGGCCGTCGCTGTCGTCGTGCTGCGCGCCGACGGCAGCTGCGACGAGGCCAAGATTGACCACCGCAAGGTAGGCGAGCTCCTCGGCGGCACGCCCACCGTCGTCGGCGCTCTTCGCTTCCTCAGCGCGCAGGCGGTCTCCCGCCGCGGCGCAAAGGGGTCGGTCAACAAGCACGCGCTCCCAGCCGACTCGTTTGAGCCGGGCATCAAGGGCGACATCGTGCTCCTCCGCACGGACGACGACAGCGCTGGCACCCCTCTCGACCTGACGGTCGTCGAGTACAACAAGTGGGTGGACGACGGGAGGCCGGACGCCGAAGAGGAGGAGGGCGAGGAGGAGGGCGAGGAGGACGAGGGCGAGGAGAGCGAGGAGGGCGAGGAGTCGGGGAGCGAGGACGAGGACGGCGAGAGCGACGAGGAGGACGAGGTCGACCTGTCGGAGCTTCCCGAGTCGGAGCTGCGCCGCGCCTGCAAGCTCTTCGGCCTCGGCGAAGAGGGGAGCAAGGAGGCGTTGATCACGCGGCTGGCGCGCCGCTCGCCGCTTCGCCGCCCGCTTGCCCCGCGGATCACCGCCATCCCTCCGCTGCAGGTGGCGCACGCAAAGGAGCAAGTCGAGGGCGAATCGGACGAAGAGAGTGAGAGCGAGGGCGAGGAGGAGCAGGCTGGGGAGGAGGAGGAGCAGGAGGCCCCGGCTCCCAAGCGGAGGACGACAAAGGCTGCCGGCAGCGCCGCGGGCCCCTCCAAGGCGCCCGCGAAGCGAGCCAAGCGCTCGTGAGAGGCTGCGCTGGGTATGGACAGCAGCTGCTCCGCCAGGCGCCGGCGCTCTGTACTAGTGGTTGCGCAACGGGAGGGCCTCGTGGCGTCGGGCCTCGCGTCACTTGGCCCATGCCTTTTGAGTCATGCCGGCAGAGCGTTTGAGTTGCGTACACTGTGCTGGACCGCGCGCGGCTGCCCCGCGCCCCTGGGGCGCTCTCTTGCTTGTTCACACATGCCAGCTTGTTTTTTTATCCGCGCTGGACGCGCAGCTAGTGACCTTTTCGTGACGTGTCGCAAGGATCCTTACGTAGAGTACGTCGCGCGCGGTGCTTCGTCCCTGTCTCAACGCTGTGCCACAAATGCGTCTCAGTCATGTCTCACGGACTCTCACCGATCTCTGCGTTGTCTCAGCCTGGTCACAGCAACAGTCTCACTTTGTCTCAAGGATGTCACACACACGGCACAGTCACCTTCAGAGACGTGTTTGAGACACCAGTGAGACAAATGTTCACCCCTGCTGTGTGACACACTGTCGTCTCTACTACGTCTCGTCATTTCCTCTCAGAGCGTCTCACACTCGTCTCACGGTGAACAAGCGGCAATCCTCGTCTCACTCGGTCTCACAACGGCATAGTTGCTGCGCCAAGGAGCGCGACTCGTCTCACTTGCTTCTGAGACTGTGCTGAGCCACGGCGTGATGAGACACGCGACACGGGGCGCAGAACGGGTGTGAGACGCCACAAGCCGCTGCCGTTGTCAGATACCATCTTACCATGCCATGAGCCAACCTGGTGAGTGGGGCGGCGGCGTGGGTAACGCCCGGCGACGGCTGTAAGGGCTGAGGGGGCGGCGGCGTGGGCAACGACGTGGCGAGGGAAGCAGCGTGGCGCAATGGGGTGGGCGAGGGCGGCGAGGGCGGCAGTGGCGGGGGCGGCGGCGGGGGCGGCGGCGGGGGCGGCGGCAGGGGCAACGGCGCGGGCGGCGGCGTGGATGACGGCGCCGCGACCGCCGGCGCGTGGGCGGTGGCGTGGGCGGCGGCGTGAAGAACGCGACGAACAGAGGGCGAGAGCGTAGTGCTGGGCACTAGCCCAAACCGCCCTGCCCACGAGAGCAACCGGCTACGCGCCGTTTGGGCCAGGGAGCGCGATATGAGCGCGATTAGTTGGGATCGTCCGACACGCCTCACCTCGGTGCAAAGTATTCATCAAGCCGAGGGCGTAGCCGCGACGAACAGAGGGCGAGAGCGTAGTGCTGGGCACTAACCCGAACCGCCCTGCTAACTGCCGTTGAGTCCGCTGCCGTCTCATAGCTCGCGCACGCCCGGCGCCTTCTCCCCGAGCCCGACGATTCATGCCCGCGAGCGCAACCGGAGCGGCCGCACACTGCTCGGTACCCCCCCTGCACAACTAAGCTCATCCCTGCTGCTAGGGGGGGGGGTCTGACCCCCCCAGCAGCAGAGCGCTGCTGCTGGGGGGGGGGGTCCGGACCCCCCCAGCAGCAGAGCGCACTGGACCAGCTCTCCCGCCTCTTCGCCGCCGCCCCCCCCTCCACCCTCGGCTCGTGTTTGAGCGGTACGCTCGAGGCGGTTGTGTTCACCGCGCCTTCGAGCCCAATACACCTTCGTCGTGTCGAGTGCTGGCGTTTTTTACAAACACTTGTGACCATGTGAGTCTATCTTGTAGGGGGGGGGGGGGGTCCCGACGCGCCTATACATCAGTGTAGTCTCATCATCGAGTGATTGCTGGCCTGTGGCGTATGACCTCGCGCGGATATCACCAACGACGAGCATGCGAAGATGGGAACAATATCTTGTACAGCCCGCTGTGCTCCCCGCTGTGCCACGGCGTATGATGGGCTGCGAGAGCCGTATCTTCCCCCCTTGAAGCAGAGGCGCCGCGAGGCACGAGAGGCGTAGAAGAGAGGCTGGCGTGCCCCGCACCTCCCGGTTGGCAGTAGGAGGGCCCGCCGGTGAGACCACTGATTTTGGTGCCGACCATAAATTCTCGCCACTGGAACGCATGCTACTTTACAGCTGCTGTCTGTACAGAGATGCCAGCACCCCCCACAGGCAGAGCGCTCCTGCTGGGGGGGGGGGGTCCCGATCCCCCCAGCAGCAGAGCGCTGCTGCTGGGGGGGGGGTCCCGACCCCCCCAGCAGCAGAGCGCTGCTGCTGGGGGGGGGGTCGGCCATGAGCTTAGTTGTGCAGGGGGGGTACCGAGCAGTGTGCGGCCGCTCCCGGCTACGCCCGCCGTTTGCGTCTGAGAGCGCGATAGAGCAACCGGCGGCTACGCGCCGTTTGAGCCAGAGAGCGCGATTATGCTTGGGGTTCGTCTACACTCACCGAGACCCGCCAGGCCGCACCTCAGACACAGCCTGAGTTGAGTCTCCCCAATCGCCACTGTCTCACAATTACGTCTCAGGTTGGCTCAGCATGGTCTCTCGGACCTGAGACGACTCAGTCAAGCAGAACCGGCCACGAACTCGACTCGCCACAGCCCTCATTAACGTTCTTGAGTCTCGTCCGGAAACAAACTTCCGCTTGGGTCGAGCTCAAGAGTCGTTTCCAAAAAATGGGTGCTCTCGGCGGCTTCCAGCTTCAACGGGGCCCAGTAGCACTCCGAACGACGGAAATCATCCCGGAAACGATCAACATCCCATGCGCTATCGTCCGTCGCAGTCACCGTGATCACATCGTCCATGTAGCGCTTCATACGGAAACCGCGCGCTTTCGCATCATCGTCGAGTGTTTGCATCCACTCGTGCTCCATCCACGCAAGAGTCCCTATCGCCAGCGGCGGGGGTGCGCACTCCCCATCGGGATACCGCGAGCCTGCTTCAGCAGACGTCCGTCGTATGTGATGACGTAGCAGTGTTATCCAGATCGAAATCGATAACCCCTCGAGCATTGATTACCTGTGTCCCCACACCTCTCCTTGCTGCGCCCACGAGCACTTCTTCTGGCCTCTTTTAGGCACAAGTATTTTCGGGGCCTCTCCCGCGCCCGGCGGCAGATTCTTGCGCACATCGCCTAGAATGTCCCTCATCGCTATCCGCATCGCATGTTAAATCGCAATCCCACTGAGGGCTGAGGGCCAAAAGTAAAACGCGCAACGCCGCTCTCGGCTCTCAGAGAGGCGTTATATCTCAGTAACCCCGCTCGCAGGTACTAGAGCAGCATTCGTCAAGCTCAAACCCCACTCTACACAACACAGAGCAGTGTTTGCCTAACAAGACTCCGCTCTGCAACCTTCAGAGCGGACTCTTGCTCAGAAAAACACCGACCAAACACGTTCGAGCGGAGTCAAGTCAGTGCAACACCGCTCAACATAGCGGGAGCGGTCAATTTCCGCGGAGAGGCTGCTTTCGCCTCCCTCAGTCGCGCTCTCCTTCGCTCCTCCTCTTCAGAGCGGGACTTTGCTGAGTGAACACCGCTCTAGCTAGTAAGAGCAGCGATTGCTTTAAGCTGACACCGCTCTAAATGGCGTGAGCGGCGTATCACTAAACGCGACGCCGCTCTGACTACTCGGAGCAGTGACGACCCACCCACACGCGCTCAACCCCAGGGGCGGGGCTCGCCACGCCGCGCCGCGCGCCACGAGCGATCGTGGATCCGCCGTCGGCGTCAGGTGGCATCGCCGTCCCGGCGTCCCAGAGCAGCGTCTATTCAGGGCGACGCCGCTCACGTCATTTAGAGCGGTGTCAGCTTAAAGCAATCGCTGCTATGACCAGCTAGAGCGGTGTTCACTCAGCAAAGTCCCGCTCTGAAGAGGAGGGGCGGAGGAGAGCGCGACTGAGGGAGGCGAAAGCAGCCTCTCCGCGGAAATTGACCGCTCCCGCTATGTTGAGCGGTGTTGCACTGACTTGACTCCGCTCGAACGTGCTCGGTCGGTGTTTTTCTGAGCAAGAGTCCGCTCTGAAGGTTGCAGAGCGGAGTCTTGTTAGGCAAACGCTGCTCTGTGTTGTGTAGAGTGGGGTTTGAGCTTGACGAACGCTGCTCTAGTACCTGCGAGCGGGGTTACTGAGATATAACGCCTCTCTGAGAGCCGAGAGCGGCGTTGAGCGTTTTACTTTTGGCCCTCAGCCCCCACTGAGAGTCACCCACAGCTCAAAAAAACGATGGCGCATCCGAGGATTGCGACCACACCCACCTCCTCTCTCGCCACTGGTGCTCACTGGTCCGGCGATGGTTGAGTGAGGTTTGAGGCGATGGGGAGCGGGCTCGAGAAGAAGCCAAAGCTCTCGAAGGTAGCACACGCAAAGGGCCACAGGTACTTGGAGCCGACGGCATTGAGATGTGAGCCGTCGATGAAGCCCGCCCTCGGCCTGCTCGCCGGCACAAACGTGCTGCAACGGCTGCTATGCGTAAAGGGCTCGGAGCAGAAGAGCGGGGCCAACGACCACGCGTACACGCCCGCATGCTCGCGAGCGAAGCGGCTGCCAGCGGCGGTGAGGCTGAGGAGGTGCTGCGTGGGCGAGACGACGCATTCAGCCCTCTGGGTCTTCCAGCGCGAGCAGAAGACGGATGCAGGCTTCACGTAGTCCTCGAGCAGCAAAAGGCTCGCACCGCGCTCACTCAGCATCGGGATGACGACGCGCGCGTACCAGCCGAGAGACTCGTTATTGAGGTGCGCATTCTGAGCGCTGATGATCGAGACCACGTCGCCCGCGCGGAGATTGGCGCGCAGGAGGTCGGTGGCCGCCAGATGATACGCCCGCGCGTCCCTTCTTCTGTCCTGCTCACACGGATGATGCGGCCCCCACGGACAGGCGCCTCGCTGCAGGCCCGCAAAGACCATGCGCCCGCCAATCGCCTGATGCAGCCCGAGCTCGACAGCGCCCGCATGCGAGTCGCCCATGTTAAAGAAGGCAGGCAGTCCACTCGATCGCACCGGCGAGAGGCATCGTCGCGCGCGCTCCTCTTCCGCATCGCTCCAGCCGGGGGGCAGCGTGAAGCAGGCTCCGACACCCCGGTATAGCGTGCTCCGCGAATCGTACCAGCTCTTGCACTGGTTGCTCGGCTCAGAGCCCTCGTTGCACTGCCGCAGGGCGGCCCACGCCGCGACCGGCTCAAAGCACGGGGTGGTCGCCCCCGCAGTGGCCGCGGGCGGCTCGTGCAGCAAGCGATTTGCACCGATAGGGTTGGAGCACGCGCATGGGGACGGCGGCGGCGAAGGCGACTCTGGCGGTGATGGCGGCGCGGGCGGTGGTGCGGGCGGTGCGGGCGGCGACGGCGGCGCGGGCGGTGGTGCGGGCGGCGATGGGGGCGGCGGCGGCGGCGGCGGTGGCTCCGGCGCGTCGAACATGACACCGTCCATGTAGAGCCGCCCGTTGAGCGGCCCCGCTAGAACGAAGAGACCGCCTTCGAGCGCGCAGAGACCCACCACGAACCAGAGGAAGACGCTGCGAACGCGGCGTGGCCTCCAATGGCGTGCGCGATCCTCGACGCCATGATAGCTGAGCATCGCCACCAGCAGAGTCAGAGCGGCCGCCGTGCCGCTGTAGGCGAGGCGCTCTGGGCCGGCCGCCCATCGCAGCGCTACGAGAATCGGCCAGTGCCACAGGTAGAGCGAGTACGAGAGGCGGCCGATGTATGCGAGTGGCGCGGATCCGAGGAGCGTGGTGAGCAGCGGCGGCCAGGGAGCGACGCGGCGCATCCCGGGGCCCATCGAGCCGAGCGCGATGAGGCCCACGGCCGCCGCGACGGCGGGGAGGGAGTTTGGAAACGGGAAGTGTTTGTTGCCACCCGTGGCTGCGAGTGCGTGCACGAGGAGGCCGAGCACGCAGAGCTCTAGCACGAGCAAGCTGGCCGCGGCCAGCACGGTGCGGGCGACGGACGGGCGTGCGCTGGCGGCGGCCGCACACTCCGCGGGCGGGGGCACGGAGGTCGAGGCATGCTGCAGCATCGCGCCGACCATGAGTTGCCAGAAGCGCGAGGGGAGCATGTAGAAGGCGAACGGAGCGAGCAGCGGCTGTGCGCTCGCCACCGCAGAGACGAGGAGGGACACGAGGCAGCACGGCGCGAAGACGAGCACGGGGCGCTCTTGTGAGAGCAGCCGAGAGAGGTGGGCAGTGGCACGTGATGCAGTGTGCATGCCGTGCCGCGTGCCGCCGCGAACGACGCGCTCGCCATGAGCGAGAGCGACGAGCAGCGGGAAGAGGAGATAGAACTGCTCCTCGACGCCGAGCGACCACGTGTGCAGGAACGGATTGTACTCGGTGCGCATGATATTATCCGCCGCATCCGAGTAGCTCGTACCCATACTCGAGTAGAAGATATTGGCCAATCCGAGGAGTGCAAGCTGCGCGGACGTGTAGTAATAATCGCGCTCAAAGACGACGTCCTTTGGAAGGAGCAGCGCGACGCCAATGGCTGAGGTGAGGACCATGAGGGCGAGCACGGGCTGCAGCCGCTTGATGCGCCGTGCGTAGAAGGCGCAGAGATACTCGCCGAGTGAGTTGTACGAGCGCGAACACAAAGAGCCGCTCACGACGAAGCCAGAGATGACAAAAAAGATGTCGACGCCCACAAAGCCACCCGGCAGCCAGGAGTGTTCGATGTGGTACACGACCACGGCGGAGACGGCCACCGCTCGGAGGCCGTCAATGTCGGCACGGTACGAGCTCGTTTCCTTGGTCCTCGACGTGGGCACGGGCGCATCGCTGCTCTCGGCTGCAATGGGAGCCCCCGTCTTAGGCGTCGAGGCACTGTTGATCTCCAGCGCTCCGCCCTCGCCGTCGAAGCGGTCGTAGCGACGTGGTGGCATGTACACCCCTTTCCCGACTCTGCCCATTACGCCAAGTTGTTGCACAAGCGCGAAAGTTGGCGCTTGTCGAGGGAGGTGCGAGCCCTGGAGGCCCTGGGGATCGGGGGAGACTACCCGCGGGCCTAGAAGGCCCGCGCGCAGGGGGGTGGGACATTGAGACTGGTCAGGAATGAGTGCGCGACACGCATGTTGCGAGCAGCGTTGTTGATGTTCTTTCTGCGGACTGCGCGTCGCCACAGACGGCGGCGCGCGAGAGCTGTTGCGAGTGGTGCAGGGCGAAGAAAAAGAAAGAAAGGTGCAGGGCGAAGGCGAAGCCCAGAGCGGCAAGAAAATCAGGATTACTTTTAACACCAAAACGATGGCGGCCAGCACTATGGCCGGCTCCTGGCTGGGGAGCACCTTGGCGAGCGCGGCAACGTGGGACCCGCTCGGCCTCGGGGACGAGGACGCGGCCATCGAGCGGGCGATGCGCGACCGCGCTCAGGAGGTTGCCTCGCTGCGGCAAACCGTCTCGCTGCTCCAGGACGACCGGCGGCAGACGCACGCCTCGGTAGGGACTCTCTCAGTGTATGTAGCTCTTACGTACATTCCCGGAGGATGCCTGCTGACGGACGGGGTTTGTTTGCGATGAGAAAGAAGCGATCCGAACGTGGCATTCGTTCGGGTGATCAGATCACTTTTTTGTATCACCCTTGAGCACTGGCTGAGTCCACGGTCAGGAACGTCTGGGTGCGGCGGCACGTCGGCTCGAGAAGGCCCATCGCCGACGATATGATGCGCCTGCCCCACTGGCGTGGGATCAGGGCGAGATGTCATCACGCGAGATTGCGCAAGACTCGGACGATGGGGTTGGAGCAAGCGTCCCAAAGCTGCGAGCCGACGGCCGCGCCGAATTCGGCGCGGCGCCAGTCAGTAATTTGGATCGCGTATTTTGGGTGTTGCTTGCTGTCCACCTCTCCTCACGTTGAAGGATAACCTACATAGCCGCTGCGCGGCTATCTCCGACGAACCTGTGCGCTGTGGCCTGCGTTTCCCCCTTTCAGAAAAAAAGGAAAAAACGGCGGACTAGCACCGACGACCCGGCGCCGCCGACGACGCCCACGCGCTATCGACCGCCACCGCCGCCACCGCCGCCGCGCCCTCCCGTACCTCCCCCGCCGCCGACACCGCGCAACGCCGCCTGAAGCGCGCGCGGCGCTCCTCCTCTGCCGCTCGCGCGAGGTCGCTGCGCAAAGAGGGAGAGGGGCCTCGCGTGGCATCGCCGCTCGCCGCCGGGGAGGGCGAGCGAGAGGTCGCGAGGCCAGTCTGCCCCCTCGCCCTCGCCCCCGACGTCGTGGGGGAATTGGCGGTGCGCTATCGTGGCTGCCTCGGCGGCGACGGCGCTGCTGAAGACGGCAACAAAGCCGGCGGGCAGCGGTCGCAGCGTGATGAGGCCAGGCAGCGCCTGCGGTGGGGAAGCAGGAAGGGTTGACGTCTGCGACGGGGCGCGAGCGGAGCAGCGCCGGCCATGCCCACCTCTCTCAGCGCGCCGGCGACTGCCCCTCTGAGCGGGCCGGCGGCGTCGAGCTCTGGCTCAAAGCTGGCGAGCTCGATCAGGTGGGCGTGGCAGCCGGCCGCCTCGCATTCGTAGCCGACGGGCTCGCGCTGCTCCGGAGCGGGGGGCCGCCAGCTGCTGTAGTCGTGCCGCAGCGGCCGCTCCGGCGCCTCGAGCTCCACCACAGAGTCGGGGCGCCTGCCGAACTGGTCCCTCCGACGGTCGTAGGTTGACGCGGGTGGCGGCGGCGGCAGGGCGTAGTAGCTCGTGGCGTGCGCAAAGTCCTCGAGCCGCAACACGGGTATGACGGCCGAGCGAGGGTGCATGTAGACCGCCATGAAGCGCTTCTCCTCCTCGCCAAACGACTCGGGACGCAGCTTGAAGCGCCGGGCGCACGCGGCGACCAGCGCACGAGCAGAGCTCGGGAGGTAGACCGGGAACCGGACGCAGACGAGGTCCTCCCCGTCTTCGCCCGCCGACTCGACCAGCGCGGTGAACTCGCGCTCGAGCTGCGCAAGCAGCGCTGCGTCCGCCTCGCTGCTCACGAGCCTCCGGTAGAGCGGCAGCGAGCACAGCTCCTCGGTGAGGATGGAGCGGTGGGCACCGGCGGTCCAGGCCCTGCTGCGGGTCGGTGGGAGGGTCGCGCGAGGAGGCGGGCGCTGCACGTCGGCCATGTGTGTCGCTCCGAACGCTTAGCCTCGGCGAGCTTCCTGGCCCACACGACAGGCTCAGCTTCAGACCGGGGGTCAGACCGGGCCCCCGTGCAATCCGTACTCTCGTGGCTGTGATAACAAGGCTGTGAACGTCTATCACTCCTTTGACCCGCCATAAAAACGGTATGGCGGTGGAGTGCTCTCTACTGCCGCGGCGCCCCTGTCGGTTCTGGTGCCGACGTCGACCGGCTGCTCTCGCGGAGGGAGGGAGTTCTGACATGAGAGGTCAGCTGGTCGGCCGCCATGTGGGCCTCCGGGCCTGCTGCGGCGGCGCGGCCGGTTGAGGCCGGGCTCGGCCCGGCCCGCGACGGCTGGCCGCCGACGAGCGCGCTCGCGCTGCTCGTCAAGATGGCGGCGGTGGCGATTGCGGCGACAAAAGTTCAGGCGTACAGCGCTCAGGCGCCTGTCGTCTTTCGTCTTTTGTCGCATTTCGCACACGCGCGCGCCGCGCGACCCGCGTCGCTCCGCGAGGGCATGAGCCTTCCGCGATTCGATCCCGCAGCCAAAAACTGCTCGCTCGAACCGCGGCCGACTCCGCCATCGCGGCCGCAGCTGTTGAGCTCTCCAGAAAACTGGTGCCTCATATGCTGCCTCCCGTATTCATGTGAGCCGGTGCCTCGGCCGTCCCCTCGTGCTTCGAACACGCGCAGGCGGCCGATATGCTTATGCCCTCGCGGCGCTATGAGATGGGGCACTTTCTCAGCAGCCTCGTGCGCGACTATCTCCACTTCAACTTTTACGGTTCGGCTCCAGCTGCGTAGAGAAACTGGGTGGGGCCAGAGCCACGGCACATAGGTGCTTGTGCGCAGAACTGTCCTATAAGCTCGTCTGTGCCTCAGGTCATGTGCTCATCGCCAAGCTCCTGGACGCACAGCTGGTCGAGGCTGCTAGGCAGGCAGCAGAGGAGATCGCCCTCGGACGCCACCCGTGCACGCACCGCCTCGCGGGCAAGGTTGAGGCCTCTGCTGGCGTGCGGCCAACATGTGCCATTGGGGAGGCGCTCAAGCCGTTGGTGGTGGGCACGCGCGGTTTCGAGTGGGTCGTCGAGTGGTCGATGCAAGGCAATCCCAAGCCAGGCTACGTTGCGACGTCGCCGGGCGCGGAGCTCGACATCTGCGTCCCTCCACAGCCCAACCAGACCAGCCGCGTCAAACTCGACCTCGGCCATATGATGTCGTACAACAACATGGGAATGGGTGATAGATTTGATGTGTGTCAGACTGAGCTACGGACGGCGCGGCGCCACTCACCCTCACTCCATGCGCCCTCAGGCGAGATCAGCTGCTGGGGCCGCTGCTCGTGCGAGGGAAAGCTCAAGTTCAACTCGCACTGGTCGCGCCCAAACTCTGTCGGCAACTTGCACGTCATCCACGCGGTGTGGGGCGATACTCTCACTTCAAGGCCGGACCACACGCGCGCTCCCCCGGGCGGCTGTGACGGTTGTGGTCTCACCGTCCGAGTGCTAGACGAGACCCTCTCGGGCGCGAGCAGAAGGCGAGGCTCTCCCCGTGCTCGCAGAGCAGTTGAGTCTAGCGCGGGATTTTATAGGTGGACACAAGGTCAAGATCCTGTCCCTCATGTCTGGCTTCTCCAACCATGGTGGCGACTCGGCCGTCATGTGGCTGTTCAACCCAAACACCACCCACAAATATGGCTTTGAGGAGATGCGGCCCGAGGGTGGTGCGCCGCAGTCGCCGCCGGATGCGCTCAAGTCCATTTACTGGCTCCACATTCCGAAGACGTCCAGCTTGTTTGCCACCACCGTCCTGACGTACGCGTGTGGCGACGCAGTGGTGCAGCCGGAATTCACCTCAACACTGACGCAGTCGGGGCCACCTATCATGAATGACGACTGCCAAGGCCGACTGTCGCACAAGCAGTGTTGTTCGGCAGCAGGCCACAATCGATGGTTCCATGACCCGCTGCCATACCCTGAAGATCTACCGAGCGTGGGGAATGTGGTCTTGCTGCTGAGAGAGCCTAAGCAGCGGGTAGCATCAGCGTACTTTTATCTGAGAGGAAATGGGAAGTGTTGTGGGCAAGGATGGGGATGGTCTTCTGAGAACAGCAGCAACGCCTTTCGAGCGGCTGCAGCTCATGCGGACTTGAAGACGTTCCTAACGCTGCCTGGCGTGAGTGGCTGCCAGACCAAGATGCTTGTGGGCCGCGGCTGCATGGACATTGTTGCGCCAACGTCTATAGAGGTTGAGCGGGCAGCCCATTTCGTTCAAAGAAGCGCTGCTTTCGTCGGCCTTTCGGAGCAGTACCAAGCTTCAGTTTGCTTGTGGCACGAGCACTTCGGAGGCTCCCTCGCACCGTCCGAAATGGTTGCAATTGGCCTGATGAAAGGCTCAGGCTCATCGTACGACACAACCCCAGTGTCGATGGGGGCCTTTGTCGACCATGCTGATGAGCAGACGTATACAACTGGCGTTCGACGCTTCATGGCGGAGCTCTCGAAGACTCCCAAGTGCAGGTGAGTGTGAGGGCTTTCGAGAAGCCTCTCTCTTCAAAACGGACACCTCCACAGGAGATGGGTAAAAGGGAGCAAGTCCCCGCCCATGCGGTACACACCCCGCCCCGCACACACACATTCCTTTCTCAGACTCAGTGTCAGTGAGTGAGTGAGTGAGATGTGAGTATTCTTGATACGAAACTACGACGACACACCCAGTCGACTCGCATCGGTTGCCTCCATGAATTGCTCTCACTCACCTCTTGGGCCGAAGAAAGTTTTTGAAAGAACCAATTCACCAAGTGTGTATATGTTGGCACTCACGGCCGCAGGCGCCAGCACGTGGTCGGGCCGTCACGCCTCCTGCCGTGCGCCGGTCCGCGCTGTCTCCCAGCCCAGGGCGTGCGGCGTCGGCGAGCTCGTCGACGAGGCGGCGGCCGCGCTGCTGCCCACGTTTTCTGAAATCGACCGGCGCACAGAGCAGTCGCTCTCGTCGGTGCTGTCAGCATTCCGCCGGCACGGAGTCGGCACGCACCACTTTGCGGGCGTGGATGGCTACGGTCACGGCGACCTCGGCCGCGAGGCGCTCGACGCCGTGTACGCTGACCTGCTTGGCGCCGAGGCGGCTCTTGTGCGAGTGCAGTGCTTCAGCGGCACGCACGCGATCGCGTGCGCCCTCTACGGCGTGCTCCGGCCCGGAGATGAGCTGCTCGGCGTCTCCGGCGCGCCGTACGACACGCTGGAAGAGGTCATCGGCCTGCGCGGCCGCACGGAGGACGGGCTGCGCGGGTCGCTCGCGGACCTCGGCGTGAGCTACTCGCAAGTCGAGCTGGCGGCAGCCTCGGAGGGGACGGCGGTGGCGAAGTTCGACCTCGACGCCATCGGCGCGGCGATCCGCCCCTCCACGCGCGTTCTCCACGTGCAGCGCTCCTGCGGCTACTCGTGGCGCGCCTCGATCCGCGTCCAGGAGATCGGGCGCCTAGCGGGCTGGCTGCGGACGCATCACCCGTCGCTCATCCTGTTTGTGGACAACTGCTACGGCGAGTTCGTCGAGGTTGAGGAGCCGTGCCACGTCGGCGCGCACCTCGTCGCCGGATCGCTCATCAAGAACCCGGGCGGCACGCTCGCCCCCTCGGGCGGCTACGTGGCGGGCCGCTCCGACCTCGTCGCGGCCGCGGGTCGTCGGCTGGCGGCTCCGGGCGTGGAGGGCGGCGCGACGCTCGGCATGACGCGCACGCTCTTTCAGGGGCTCTTCCACGCGCCCCAGGTCGTGGGCGAGGCTCTTAAGGGCTCCCTCCTGGTCGCCCAGACGATGAGCCGCCTCGGGTACGAGTGCAATCCGCCGCCGGGGGTTGGCGGCCGCACCGACATCATACAGGCCGTCAAGCTGGGCAGCCGCGCCAAGGTGCTCGCCTTCTGCGCCGCCGTGCAGCGCTGCTCCCCCGTCGGCGCTCACATCGTCCCGGTCGCCGGAGTCACCCCCGGCTACGGCGACGAGGTTGTCTTTGCCGACGGAACCTTCATCGACGGGTCGACCCTCGAGCTGAGCGCGGACGGGCCGCTGCGCGCGCCATACGCGGTCTATGTGCAGGGGGGGACGCACTGGACCCACTGGGCAATCGTGTTGCGCGAGGCGCTCAGCGCCCTCGCGGAACTGGAAGAGCCGCTTGGCGAAACACACGCCGGCGAGGGCGACTCACGACGTTACGCCGGGCGGCGCTCGCTGAGGAACACTGAGTAGTACGCGTGTCTGTAACAGTAAACGTGTCACAAGGGAGACCTCTCCGGCACGCCGCGCCCTCTCTCTCGAGACTAACCGCCGCGGAAAACTCCCGCAAGCGCGCAAAATGTTACAAGACCCACACCCGAGCTGGCCGTCAGCCTCGAACCATCACCCCCATAGCCATTCCTGCTGCACCGACAGTAATCAAAAATCCAGTCATCAGAGTCGCCCTCTTCTTCATGGTCTCCTTCTCCTTCTCGTCAGCGTACACGGCCTCTCCCGCCTTGAAGCCAGCAGCGAAGCCGACAGCAGCGCCAAATACCAAAAACGCAGCGTGGGACTTGATCGTCATCCCCGTGTGATGAGGTGACGCAAGCCGTAGGGTCGAGATGTCCCTGAGGAGGTGGCGACTTGTGCCCCAGGCGCGGCCGAAAGAGGGGGAAAGAAAATTTTGCCGCCAGCGTCGCACGACACGATGCAGTTTTCTTTCTTTCTTTCTTACACGATTCAGTGTTCGAAGAGAGAGTGGACCTGAGCCATGACTTGGCGGCAAATGATCGCAGTGGGCATCAGAAGACTCGTCCTTGCGCGAGGAGAGCTCGATAGACTCGAGGGGCCAAGCAAGATATGCAGCGAGGAGGGCGGAGCTGCGCCGAAAGGCGCAAGAAGCCGCGAGAACAAGGGACCGGCAGGCGGCGGCGGCGCAGAACGAGGCAGAGGAGAGCGACTCGACAGAGGAAGAAGCGACAAGGGAGAGAACGACGAGAAGGGGGAGACCGCGAGGTGGAAGGTTGCAGCGAGGCCCGCGCCCAGCAAGCGAGTGGCTCGCGGCTGCCTTGCACGGATGTTGTCGTCATGATCCCCATCTGGGCTGCTGCAAAGCGCGGCGCACGGCGCGTCGGGGGGCTCACGGCCAGCCAAGCAGCCCTTGAGAGACCAATTTGCAGAGAGACCAACCGAGACCCCACCACCTAGTCGCCGACCACCACCCACAAAGAACCCTGCACAAAATCGCATGGGCGGGGACTTGCTCCTTGAGCACTAGTAAGCTTGAGCACTGGAGATATAGGGTCGATTCCGCATGGTACGGGACCCCTCGATCGTTCGCCCTCCCTCGCTGATCCTTTTTACCCATCGCTAGTAGAGTTGTCCGTTTTATTTATTTAGACCACCCTCGCTGACCTCCGCTGCGACATCGAAGACCGGCGGGAGGACAAAGCAGTGTGACTCGACAGTGTCCGAGCGGCGGGACGGCGCAAGCCATCCATGGCGCGTGTGTACGCGTGGGGCGAGGTGGGGTCGGATCACATGCCGCCGCGCAGGCGAAGCACCAGGTGGAGGGTGGACTCCTTCTGGATGTTGTAGTCGGACAGGGTGCGACCGTCCTCGAGCTGCTTGCCCGCAAAGATGAGGCGCTGCTGGTCGGGCGGGATGCCCTCCTTGTCCTGGATCTTGGCCTTGACGTTGTCGATCGAGTCGGAGGGCTCGACCTCGAGCGTGATGGTCTTGCCGGTCAGCGTCTTGACGAAGATCTGCATGCCGCCGCGCAGGCGAAGCACCAGGTGGAGGGTGGACTCCTTCTGGATGTTGTAGTCGGACAGGGTGCGACCGTCCTCGAGCTGCTTGCCCGCAAAGATGAGTCGCTGCTGGTCGGGCGGGATGCCCTCCTTGTCCTGGATCTTGGCCTTGACGTTGTCGATCGAGTCGGAGGGCTCGACCTCGAGCGTGATGGTCTTGCCGGTCAGCGTCTTGACGAAGATCTGCATCTCTCTTCTTGTGGGCGGCTTGCTTGGTTGGCGCAGGGACGTGCGAGTTCGCCTTCCTAAATCCTTGGTACGAGGGTCGTCAATCGTTTGGCGGGGTGTGGAACCAGACAGTTAGGCTTCGAGAGGGCGGAGCATGAATGAGAAAACAGGGTATGTTCGTAGGTGTGTTCGTTCGTAAGTAAGAGAGTAAGAGCCGCATGCATGCTTATTTTATATTGGATACCCATCACTGAGCGGACGATGCTACGGGTAGCCCCAGGGTGGCGCCCACCACCATACCCTCGGGCACTTGCCTGCGCCCTCGCGCGCTAGCCCACGCCCTGCCCCGCAAGATCTCACTCCATCCCGGCCTGTGCCTGCGCGCTGCGGCATACCTCGGCATCCCCTTGGCCTTGCTGGCTTGCGCGGACGGAATTTCAAAACGCCCAGGTTCCCTGCTCAGATCGGCGAAGCGCCACACAGTGCCACGCAGTGCCGCGTAGTGCAGCGCGCGCGCGGAGCGTGCGCGCGCTTGCTCGGAGCGCGCGCGTGCGCGGCGTGCGCAGGCGTGCGCGGGCGTGCGCGGCGTGCGCGGCCAGGGCGCAGGCAAGTGCCCAAGGGTATTGGGGTGGGCGGCACACAGGGGCTACCCGCAGCATCGTCGGCTCAGTGATGGGTATCCATTCAACACGCACGACTACACACCTCTCTCTCTCTCTCTCTCTCTCTCTCTCTCTCTCTCTCTCTCTCTCTCTCTCTCTCTCTCTCTCTCTCTCTCTCTCTCTCTCTCTCTCTCTCTCTCTCTCTCTGAAGGCCCCCGCACGGGGGGTCCCGGGGGGCACCATGATCGTCCGGACGCGGCCCTCCGTACACGGAAACAGGGTACCGGAGGCATTCCCGAACTCAAAACAGGGTACCAAGGGCAGATATGAGCTCAGCTCAGTGAGATCTAGCAGCACATACCCTTGGTACCCAGAATAGTTCAGTCTGAAAAAGTCGGTCCGACCTCGCGGAGCCGTCTGGCTGTCTGCAGAGCCCCCGCGGCGCGCGGGCACGCCTGGTCCTCTCGCAGCGGCGAGGAGGGAGCGAGCGCCGAGAGCAGCGTCAACCCTGTGTGCGAGGGGGAGGGAAGACACGTATGCTCGTAGGTCATACGCCACAACCACGCTCCAGACCGTGCTGCTGATCCGGCAAATTCGAGGACTCGTGCCTCTCCGGCTTCTCCTGTGTGATGCCAGCAGAAAGGACGCTGATTCATGCTCAAATGCGGCACCGCGTATCTTCGAAACAGCTGCCGCTGGCATACGCCGTGGACTAACGAAAACTGCGATCTCAGTGCCCCAGGACGCAAAATTTTCTCTGCGGGGCTATAGCCCCGCACCCCGTTTGGGATGAATTCACACCTCTCAGCTGCTGTTCACACCTGGAAAACTCATCGGATTTGGGCCACTTGCCTGGGGCTGGGCGACCCCGGACCCTTAGCGGACGATCATGGTGCCCCCCGGGACCCCCCGTGCGGGCTGCGGGGGCCTCCCCCCCCCCCCCCCCCCGTCCCCGTCCCCTGCAGATTCCCGCGCCGCCGCCCCCACGCCATCGCTGGCCAACCCCCCCCCCCTCCCCCCCCCTCTCACGACAAGGCCGCCTGACGACGCACCTCAACTTCCTGCGCGCCGACTCGAACCTGCAGCGCCGCTTCCGCGACGCCAGCCCGGAAGAGCTCGCGTCCCTCGGCGACTGCTGCGCCATCTGCCGCGAGAACCTCGACACGGCAAAGGTGCTGCCGTGCGGCCACTACTTTCACTACCGCTGCCTCCGTGCCTGGCTCGAGCAGTCGCATTCGTGCCCCATCTGCCGCGCCTCCCTCGCCACGCCACCGCCGCCGCCTCCTGCCTCGCCTGCACGCGCCCCAGCCCCTCGCGCCGCCGCCGCGGGCTCGGCTGCTGGTGGAGAGGCCAACGCGGGCGCAGGCGGAGGCGGCAGCGTTGGCGGCGGCGTCGCGGAGGTCGAGGCGGCGGCGCGAGTGGGCGATGATGGCGGCGGCGGGTCGTTGGGTGGCAGGGGCGGCGGAGGCGGCGCCGCCGCCCCGGACGGCGGCGAGCCAGAGGCGGAGGAGCAGGAGGAGGAGACGTATCTCCTCTTCTCGTCCGACCTCTGGTCGTGGCCCTCGTGGCTGCCGCGGCTGCATCTCGAGGTGGTGCGCTCCAGAGGAGACTTCGAGCGGACGGCGCGGCCGGCGGCGAGCGGGGGCAACGGAAGGGCGAGAGAGCAGCCGCAACGGCAGCCGCCAACGCCGACGCCGCTGCTGCAGCGCCAGCCGCAGCAGCCGCAGCAGCCGCAGCAGCCGCAGCAGCCGCAGCAGCCGCAGCAGCCGCAGCAGCCGCAGCAGCCGCAGCAGCCGCAGCAGCCGCAGCAGCCGCAGCAGCCGCAGCAGCCGCAGCAACCGCAGCAACCGCAGCAGCCGCTTGAGACATTGCGTGAGATGTTTCCGCACGTCAGCGAGGGGGGGCTGCGCCGCGCGCTCCTCCGCTCCGCCTCGCTCGACGCAGCGGTCGAGCAGCTCCTCGAAGCTTGAGTCAGTGAATTAGGGGAATTTTTGAATAACAGTACGGCTCTTACGTTTGTAGATGATGGGGACAGAGCGCAAAAGTCTCTGAAAGGGCGCACATGCAGCAGCCCTTGTATGTAGAGGGTGCGGGGCGTACCCCAAAATCCACCAGTGCAGGGATTTCGCGCAAAAGCTTGACTCTGAAAAGCTCGCTATGTACCTTTCTGAGCGCTGTGGTCGCCGCAGACTGGCTCCAACTTGACGGCAGCATGGAGACGTGATGCCTTCGTGGTGTTGCCCCAGGAGAAAGGTCACTGCCGCTTGCAATCCCGGAACCGGCACGCGTCGCAGACGGGAGGCTCGGCAGGAGCGTTCCGATGGCGAAAGGAGAAGCACACCAGGCGGGCAACCTCCAGGCCGCGTGCATATGGAGACGGGCCGTAAAGGGAGCCTTCCCGCCCAGGCCGCGCAGATTCGCGTTGTATCTGCGCGCGGTAGCCCGTAACCCGATGCCAATCATCCGGCCCGCTGGGTGCGCTTCTGAGCTCCCTGGCCCTGGATGTGCGGTTGATAACTGCACTCCAAGTGCTCCAAGTAGCTCGTGTGCCGAGCGAGAGTACTCGCCCGAATTCCGGCGTTTTTCACGTTTATTTCTTCAGTGTACTTACGAACATACCCGTAGGTGAACTGCTGACAGGGTTTGCGATGAGGAGCGTCCGAACGTGGTATTCGGGTGATTAGATCACTACCGCCGTAACGCAAGAGCACTGCGACGGATCGGGCTCATGCTAGCATCCACCTCGCGGGCCGACGTTCTGGCCCAGCGAGGCTGCTGCGGAGCACTCGGGGCCGATGTTCTGGCCCAGCGAGGCCGCTGCGGGACACACCGGCGGCTCGGTTCGCTCCTCAACGCAAACTCGGTCGAGCAAGAAGTCAGGTGTGTGTGTGTAGAGGCGGCGCGGCACGGTAAGGGTCGGCGGTAAGGCGGCGCGGCGGCAGCAGACGGCAGGCAGGACATCGGACGGCGGGACATACGTTTCTCGTTCTCGAGGTTCTCGAGGTGGATATCCTTTGGCCGCGTTGGGTAGCGCTCCTATTGCTATTACACTATTAGTACCGTGTGCTCTCGAGAGCCGCATCATGGCTTAAGTCTGCGGACTCACTGCGCAGCGAACTGTACATCCCTCATTTTTCATAGGAAGAAATTTCATTGCGTCGCCGGCGCGCTGAGCGAGCGAGCTCCCCCCTCCTGCCTCCGCCATCTTGCATCAGCGAGAGAGTGTGAGCTCTGTGTCTTGATTTGCAAACAACATACCTAAACCTCATCGCAGATCAGAAGTCCTCCTTCGGGAATGTTCATAAGAGCTAGCTGAAAAACAAAGCGAGCGGACAATACCGTCCGCGTCGTGCGTCCTTCGGGGAGTCCGGGGGGAGCGACTCGCGGAGGAGACGGCGCCGCGCCCACTGACACCTGGCCTGCGCCGTGCCACGGTGTACGCTACTCCTCTTCAAGTGCGGCGCAATGAGCCACCTTCGCCGGGCTGCCAGCGGCGGGGCCCAGATGGTGAGGCCTGCGACCATCCCGGAGATGGCCAAGGCTGCTCGGTTGGAGCTCGTTGGCGTGGTCGGAGCCAAGGACCCGATAGCTCACCTCGGCGGCTGCCTCAACGCCTCAAGGCTGCTGACGCTTGCGAGCATCAATCAGGAAGGTGACGGCAACCTCGACGAGGATGACATTGAAGCGGCACAGGAGCTGATCGGGTCCACGCAGGACGAGCTCATGAACTCTGGTGTGATCGCGGCCTTGGTTCTGTCCGTGGTGTTCACGCCTGCGTACGAGGAGGCCGAAACCTTGACGACGATTCGAGACAGTTTGGAGGGGGCTGGCAGCATTGGTCTCGACGACGTGACGTCCATCATCGCCACTATGCTGAGCGTCGCCATGTCGTCCTTCACGCTTGCGGCTAGCTCGATCCTCTACATGCAGATGACCTGTTGGATGACCACGCCGCGGGCCAAGCTGTGGTACGTCATCAACGCCTCCCGCGTAACCAACGCGATAGACACCTGCAAGGATGGAACCGTCTTCCTAGCATCTCTGGCAATCGCGTGCGAATGCTCGTCAACGGGCAGCGCCATCGACCTTCTGCCAGGGATCCCCGTGATTGCCCTGGTAGCCAGCATATTCTACGTGAAGCTCCACCTGGCGCGGCGCAGCCGTGACTCACTCGCCGCCGAGCTGTCGCTCGCGTTCCAAAAACTCTCGTCGTCGGGCCGTTGGGAGGAGATGCCGGTGGAGGCGCTTGCCGGAAAGTTGCGGGCGCGAGTTCAGAGGGAGGGCTCCGCCGAGTTGACCGCCTCCTCGCCTGCACCCACCACCGATGCAGCCGCCCCCGACAAAACGGAGGAAGCCGTCGAGCGAGCCAGGACTCCTCCCCCCGCCGATCTACCCGCACCCGAGCGCGCTAGTGGTGAGGTCACTGCAGAAGAAGGTGCCAGGGGCAGCGGTTGGCTCACGAAGATGCGCTGGTCGGCGCTGGTCGATCTCGCCTTCTCGGCGAAGGGCATATACGGCAGCGTTTCTGAGCCGGACCCGGCCCCAGAGGTGGCCGACCGGCGCACAATAGCGCCCCCCGAACCGGCGCTGGCGCTGACGAGTGAAGAGCCGGGGTGGGTGCCGAACAACGAGCGCCGCGGGTGCAACATATGCCAGAAGAAGTTTGGGCTGCTCCGACGAAAGCACCACTGCCGGCTGTGCGGCGAGGTGGTTTGCGGGGACTGCTCCGGCTGGCGGGTGAAGGCACGGTCGGGGTTAGCCGGGTCCTCGGAGGCGGTGCGGGCTTGCAAAACCTGTGCGACAGCGCCCGCCTGGTCACTTGCTGCAGCCACATGACACGCACACACCCGCACCGCACCGCACTCCGCACCCCCCCGCGCGCCGCCCCCCCCGCCCCGCCTGGGTTGGAAGGAGAATACTTTGAGCTCAATTCTAAAAACTCTCTCGTACACGTGCATGCACATGCACACACATTCACAGCCTTGTTATGAGACGAAAATACGTCCTATGGCGCTATGCGCTGGGTATATGTGTACCCGTATGTGTGTAGGAATCCTATGTTGCGCTGCTCGCTCGCTCTCACGTTGCTAGCTGGCGTGTGTGGCTGCAGGCAGGTGGCCGGCGGTGTCAGAGCCCTTGAGAGCGGCCTATTGCCACGGCGACGCGCCGTGCTGGCGGCCGTCCCTCTCGTGGCAGGCGCGCCGCGTGCGCTCGCGATCGCGGCGCCACAGGCTTCGGCGGTGACAGTGGCTGCTTCAGCGGTCCCGCCGAGCGCGGCCGCCGAGTTTTGGTCCGGCCTGCTCGCCGGTGCAGTGCAGAAGACCGTTAAGGAGCTCGCGCTGCATCCTCTCGACACGGCCAAGGCTCGGCTGCAGGCGCCGGTCGCCGCCGGATGGACAGGCGGCGCCCGGCGCGCAGTGCTGGGCGAGCTCTTCAAGTCGCCGTACGACGGCCTCGCGCCGGCGCTGATATCGGGCGCGCCGGCGGCGTCGGCTTTCTTCGCCGTCAAGGATGGCGCAAAGCGGGCGGTTGCCGGTCTGCAGCTAGGCAAGGCGGAGACGACCGTCCTCGCTGTGGCGTGCGCCAACGTCGCCTACTGGGGCATCAAGAACCCGTCCGAGGTCCTCAAGGTGCGGCGACAGGCCGGCGTCGCGTCCGACACGGCGGGCGCTGCCGTCGAAATTTGGCGGGCGGAGGGCGTCGCGGGCTTCTACTCCTCCGCGGGGCCGAACTATGCGTACTCCACGCCGGTGGACGTGGTCAAGTTCTTGCTGTACGAGCAGCTCAAGGCGTCCTACGCAGCGCGGCGCGGCCGCTCGGGCCTGTCGCCCGTCGAGGCCGCTGTCGGAGGCGCCGCCGCCGCCGCGACCGCCCAGGCGCTGGCGACGCCCCTCGACGTGGCGCGCGTGCGGATCATGACGTCCGATGCGACGGGCGTCGCCGCCACGCTGCGCCGCGTGGCCGCGGAGGAGGGGGCGGGCGCGCTCTGGGCGGGAGTCGCGCCAAAGGTTGCGAGGGCGCTTGCGTCGGGCGCAATCCAGTTCAGCACCTACGAGGCGACCAAGGATTGGGCGGTGGGCTACCTCGCGCGGACCTTCCCGAGGCTGTGAGCTGTCGTGCCAGTTTCGAAATCGTTGTATCCTGCCATTCACAATGCACATTTTCGTGAGAGGTGAGAGTTCGAGACAGCATCACACTTCACCGCACCGAGCTCCACACAATGCAGGCTACTCTCTCATCACAGGGGGGCATCAGCTCCCATCACACACACTCGACACGCGACACGCACGCGACGACGTCGACGACACCGCTCACGCCGGGCGCCGCGGGGGCCCCCCCGACACCCGGGGGCCACACCCATCACCCTAGAGCTAGAGAAAGGATAGCACACAGACAGAGCACTGACCAACTTTCTCCGCCCCTCCATTCGACAGTCTGCGCGCGCATACCACACATACACACCGCACAATAGATGAGCCTGCGACCTGTCACCGATGCCGCAGGGGCGCAGGGCCAATCTGGCCAGTGCTATGCAAAAGAGTTGCCAACGCCAGGAAGGCCATGCGTCTTCAAGGCGCAATAAGAACGTGCGCCAGGTAATGTGTGAGACGAAGGAGCCCCTCAGCGAAGTGAGGAGAGCTCGGCGATGGGCATTGCCACGTGAAGGCCGCCGACCGAGTTTCTGCCCCGCATGGGACGCCCATGGTGGTCCTGCGCCGGCACGGTGCCGTTGTCCTCGACGACGAAAATGTCGAGCTGCTCGCTCTGCGAGCAGAGACAGACGCCGATGACCCTTCGCGTGCGCAGCGAGACGACGGGCCCACCCGAGTGGCCGGACAGCATGTCGCCCTGGATGTCGATCACGCGGCATCCGAACCGCTCGTCCACTCTTTCGATGCACGCCACCGAGCCGCGCATGGTGTTTTGCACCTGGGAGGCGCTTTGCATCCCATAGCCGAGGATCACGACGTTGTCGCCGACCCGCACGTCGTCGCTAGCCTCCAAGTAGGGTAGCGGCCGGTTCAGGTCGTCGCCCTCGTCGTCGTCTGGCAATGACCCAATCAACTTGAGCAGCGCGAGGTCGAGGTGCGGCTCATGCGCAGAGAGTGCGGTGCGCATGTGCGGTGAGGGCGAGTGCGCAAGGACCCGCGCGCGGAGCGGCCAGCTATCGTGCGTGATCGTGGCGCCAACGCCGACGTCGATAAGCGGCCCAGAGACCGCATCCCAACCGCAGTCGAGAAGGACATGGAAGGCGGTGACGAGGCGGATCCCAAAGGAGGTGAGAAGCGCAAACCCGGAGCCGATCCTGCGCCCGTGTTGGCCAAGCGCCACCACGGCGCGGTTCCACTCGGCAATGAGGAACTCTGGCGCCATTTCGGCGAGACTCAGCACTGGCTTCAGGCGTGAGTCGAGGAGCGCGATATGCTGGTCCAGCCGCTCCAGGCGCTGCTCCAGTTGCCAGCGTTCGTCTGTGTCAGCCCGTCTATACGGGCCGCAGCAGCAGAGGACGCGGAGGGCCTGAGGCGCATCGCGCGGCGGTCAACAGTGGTCAATGCGCTTAGCGGGCCGCGCAGATTACAATACCTGGCCGATGGAATCTACCCTCGATCGCCAGATACGGATGTCTGGCTCGCAGACACGCGCGGCGAGGTCAATGAACTTTTGGCACGACCACGTGCGCGGAAAGGTCATCGGAGCGACCGCTCGCGGGCTTCAGTGCAGCGGATGCCCTCTGCCCGCTGGAAGGCAGTGGGGATGCCCCCTGCCTGACGCCGAGATTAGACCTGAATAGGATGGTAAAATGCAAAGGCATCAACGTTTCCGTTAGAGAAGAAAGAAAGAAAGAAAACAGAAACCCAAGGGAGGGATGGGAGGACGGTACGCCGCCACCACACAGGGATTTTAAGGAGAGGAGTGTGGTGCTAGCCGTCGCCCACCCTCGGGCGTCTACCACTTCCTATCTCTCTCCGCAGTTTCTCAGTTAGAGAAGGCGAGGGAGGCGAGAGAACCTTTAAAAAAGAAAGTGTAGTAAAAAAAGAAAATTTGCATCGCGGTGAGCGTGCTTTGATCGCGCTCGCGTCTCCGCCGCAGAGGGAAGGGGGGCGTGCGCGGTGCCCGGCTACCTCCACGCCTCGCGACTGTCCTTTACAATTTACTCGACCGCACAATTCGCTCACGAATGGCCGCCGCTACGCTCTGGCTCACACGCATGAGCGCCGCCGATAAGATCGGCCAAATGACGCAGTTGGATATCTCCATGGTGCTCGCAGACGGCTGTCCGCTGCGCATCGACGACGCGAAGCTGCGCAGGCAGCTTCGCGTCCACCGGCTGGGGTCGCTGCTCAACTCTCCCTTCTCCGGCACCGATCCGCGATGCGGGTCGTCGGGCTGGAACGCCTCGGAGTGGCGCGCCTCTGTCGAGCACGTCCAGGCGGCCGCCGCCGACGAGGGTCTGCCTCCTCTCATCTACGGCATCGACTCGGTCCACGGCGCGTCGTACTGCCGCGGCGCAACCCTGCTGCCGCAGCAGCTCGGCCTCGCCGCGTCCTTCGACGAGTCGCTCGCCGCCGCCTCCGGCTGGCTCACCGGCAAGGACAGCCGCGCCGCGGCGACGCCGTGGATGTTTGCCCCCATCCTCGGCGTCGCGACGCACCCGCTCTGGCCGCGCGTGTACGAGACGTTTGGCGAGGACCCGCTGCTGGTCGCGAGGATGGGCGCGGCGGTGGTGGAGGGGATGCAGCGGCGCGGCGGCGAGGGCGAGATCCCGGCGCGTGCGGCGGCGTGCATGAAGCACTTTGTGGGCTACTCGGCGCCGCGGAACGGGCACGACCGCGAGGGCGCGTGGCTGTCTCGGCGCGAGCTGGAGCAGACCTACCTGCCGCCCTTCCAGGCCGCGGTGGACGCCGGCGTACAGAGCGCGATGGAGAGCTACCAGGAGGTGAACGGCGAGCCCGTGGTTGGCTCGGCGGCGCTGCTGCAGGGGCTGCTGCGCGAGCGGTTGGGCTTCGAAGGGCTGCTGGTGACGGACTGGCACGAGGTCGGCAACCTGCACGACTTCCACCGCGTGGCGCGCTCGCCGGAGGAGGCGGTGCTTCTCGCCATCGGCGGCTCGAGCTCGCTCGACATGTCGATGGTGCCCACCGACGAGTCCTTCTCTCCTCCTCGCCAGTTGACCCGCTCACACTGCGATGGCAATGACCACAGGTGCCCACCGACGAGTCCTTCTCCGTGCTGATGGAGCGGCTGCACGCGCGCGGAGCAATAGACGAGGCGCGAGCTCGACCCTTAATTCACCCTTCATCAAACCCTTAATTCACCCTTAATTCGCAATCGACGAGGCGCGGCTCGACGTGTCGGCGCTGCGTGTGCTCCGTCTCAAGGAGTGGCTCGGAATGAATGAGTCGATCAACTAATCCACTAGTTAGCGAGTTGCTGCGGGCGCTGTCTCTAGGAGTGGCTCGGCCTGCTCCCGCCGCCCCCCGCCGTCCGCCCCGCCCCGTGGTCGCACAGCGAGGCGACGGTGCGGCTCGTCGAGAGCGTGGGCAGCGCCTCGGACGCCGCACTTGCCCACGAGGCTGCGCGCGCCACCGTCACGCTGCTCAAGAATGCGCCGCCGTGTGCTGGGCCCCCGCAGCAGCAGCCGCTGCCGCCACTCTCGCCAGAGCCGGCGCCGCCACCGTCGAGCCCCGGTGGCTCCAACGGCACAGGCGAGGCCGAAGGCGGCGCGGCGGTCGGTGTGGAGGAGTGCGACGCGTACCTCGGCGAGGGGGGGGGCGGGTGCGGCTGGACGGAGCGGTGGCGGTGCCCGCCTACAGACCCGGGCCAAGGCGACGTCGCTGCCGACGACGGCACCACGGGTTTCGCCTGCTGCTGCGGCGCGCGGATGGCCGCATGAGTTCGCGCGGCGTCAGGGCTGTCCCTGACCCTTCCCTGAACCGTCCTGTAGGCGCGCGGATGGCCGCATGGCGCACCTCGCGCGGCGTCGGCGGCGATGGCACCGACGACGACGAGAGGCTGCCGCTCCCCCCCTCCGCCCCGCTCAGTAATGATCCTCCTCCCTCATCGTATTCATCATCATCATCACCGCCGGCAGCATCGTCATCATGGTCGTTGTTGTCATTGTTGTACAGGCCGCCGCTGCTCCTCCCCCTCCGCCCCTCGGGCGAGGGAGGCTCCGTCGGCCGCGTCCTCGTGACGGGCGAGAGATAGCCGAGATATAGGCGAGATACAGGCGAGATATAGGCGAGATATAGGCGAGATATAGCCGCGTCCTCGTGACGGGCCCTGCTGCCGCCTCTCGCTGGGCACCCTCTCCGCGCCAGCCTCTCTTCACGCCTGCGGCTGTGAACAGGCCCCGCTGCCGACTCGCTGGGCCGCCTCTCTGGCGGCTGGACGGCGCACTGGCAAGGAACGCTCGCCGACGACGAGATCCGGGGCAGCCGGCCGGGCGCGGCCACGCCGACGCTGCTCGAGGTCAAATCTCCCATATCTCCTCATACCTCCCCTCCTTGGCCTCTCCCCACTGCCAACTCCCTCCTCGCCGCCTCTTCCCCACCGCTGCCTCCCCCCCGTCCTCCCAGGCTCTGCGCGCTGTCGACGGCTGGGAGGTGGACCACCTCCCCGGCTGCTCGCTCCCCGGCACCGCCTTTGCCGTTCGGTCGTCGTGCGCGCAGACCAACTCGTCGGCCGAGCTAATCGCTGCTGCGGCGGCCGCCGACGTCGTGGTCGCTTGCTTGGGCGAGGACCCGCACACAGAGAAGCCAGGCGACCTAGACGACCTCTCGCTCGACGCCGGTCAGCTCGACCTCGTGCGCGCCCTGAATCAACCCTTAATTTACCCTTAATTCGCCCTTCATTAGGTCAGATCGACCTCGTGCGCGTCCTCGCCTCCGCCGGCAAACCCATCGCGCTCGTGTTGGTCACCGGCCGGCCGCGCCTCTTGCACGGCGTCGAGGCGCTGCCGCAGGTCAAGAGAGAGCGGAGAGCGAGAGGTGTGTGGGATGAGATCTTTGATCGAGAGAGGCGTCGAGGCGCTGCCGCAGGTCAACGCGGTCCTCCAGTCCTTCCTGCCGGGCCCGCACGGCGGCGCCGCGCTCGCCGACGCGCTGGTTGGCCGCTTCGAGCCGTCAGGCCGGCTTCCAATCTCGTGGCCAACCGCCGCCTCCTCTCTCCTCTACCCGCATTGGCACCCCACCCCACGCAGCGGTGGCCGGCGCGCTGTGAACGGCGTCTCGTCACGCGGCCCCGCCGTGGGCGCAGGCACGCCGTCACGCAGCAGTGCGACGGCTCGCGCACTTGTGGCGTCGCGTGGCCCTTTGGGCACGGCCTCTCTCGCCCTAGAAGCGGAAGATCTCCCCATATCTCCCCATATCTCGCGCCCTAGAAGCGGAACACGCATTCCCGTCTTCCAGCGAGAGGACACGGACTCCGCCGTATTCGGCCGTCTTCCGCTGCATTCACTGTGTCCGCAGCCCCCTCGTATCCACGCGGTCCTCTGAAGACGCTGCACAGGACCCGGCTCCCTCTCTTCCCGCCCCCTGAGGTTGGTGTGTTCGGCTCGTAGGCCTCTCCTACTCGCGGCTGCAGTACGGCCCCCTCCTCCTCTCCTCGGGCGCCCTCCCGCGAACCGGCGCGGTCAACGCGTCGGTGGCTGTCTCGAACCCTTCCTCACTCGCGCTCAACCACACGGTGCTTCTCTTTGCCGCCGCCGACTTCCGGCGGGTCGTGCCGGAGGCGCAGCAGCTCAAGGCTTTCCGCCGCGTGCTGCTGCCGGCAGGCTCGAGCGTCGAGGTCTCCTTCACGCTGCGCGCGGACGACTTTCGGTACTGGGGCCTCGAGGAGCGGTGGGTGGTCGAGAGCGGAGACGTCTCGCTTTGGTGCGACCCGCTGCTACGACCAAAGGGGCCTCTGGCCGCCCTCGGCGCGGTGACCCGGCGGCGCGCGTCCGAGGGCGGCGGGATGGCGGCGGCGCGTGCTCGACTATACGTCGAGGGCGACTGCCGCGGGGCGGGCTGCGGGGCGGAGGGGTGGTGGGAGCGCGACGCGTCGGGCGAGAGGTATGAGATCGGCAAGTACATCGCTCACGTGCCCGGCCCTTCCCCCGCGGGCGTGATCGCGACCACGTTCCTCGCGGGCTGGCTGGTGGGTCTGATTTGCGCCGGCGGCGTGTGGGCATGCGCGCGTCGAGGCCAGGCGAGCGGACGCGGCCTCGGCGAGGTGGGTAAGGGCGGTGGCGGCAGCTCCAGCTCCTTGGTGAACACCTCCTGGTCGACGACGCTCACGCAGCGAGGCGGGGAGTTTGGGAGCCAGGCTTGCATGCTGGGGGCGGGCTTCAAGCAGAGCCACAGCATCGGCAGCTCGATGGGCAGCGCGATGGACGCGGCGTTCCGCCGGACGTGTTCGAGCGGCATCGCACTAGGCGCGTTGGCGCAGTCGGGCAGCGGCGCCTCGCTGTCAAGCGTTGCCGAATACGGGCGCCCAGCCTCTATTTCGGGTCTCCGCACCGAGTCCAATCTCAACAATCGCGGCGACGATCATGAGGCCGAGTTGCATTGTCCGCCCGAACTCCGAATAGACGAAGACAAGTGTTTGTGAGACTCTCTCAAGGGGGCTTCCCATCCTCCGTGCGGGGGCCCGTACACATCTTTATGTACGGGGTGTGGACCCTGTCCGGCGCCCGCGAGGAGGCCTTTCCCGCCCTCCCACTGCCTTTTTTTGAAAATATCCCAGCTACGCGGTACGGTGATCGGTACATCAGTATGCACACACGGCTCTCCTCTCTCAATTGTCATCCTCCCGCTGCATCGCGTCGCGCTCTCGCATGCGTTTGACCAGATTGGCGAGCACAACCTCAGCGTACTTTGTGAGGATATTGCGCATGTGGATCGCCTCGCGCGTGAGGAAGCGCAGCTTCTCTCGCCTGCAGGCGGAAGGGGCGGCGTGTGAGCGGATGGCGCATGATGGGGGCCGGGGGGTGGGATCGAGATGGCGAGCGGGCAGGGCAAACTGCAAGGGGGCGCTCGCTCGCCGTTTGTTGTGGTCGTGCTTGGTGGCATAGATGATGTTGATGATAAGCATGTCGTTCATCGACTGCCACGAGACGAGCGTGTCGAAGTTGAAGGTCGAGATCAGCACCGGCGACGGCCCAAGCCGGTAGACGTGCAGCCCCCCAGCGTTGATCACGACCAGCACCTGTGGGTGTTGGTGTGTGGGGCGGCGCCGTGTGAGAGGAGACGCCGCGCAGCGCTCCCAACACCCCCACTCCCCGTCTCTCCCCGCCGCCACCGACCGCGTCGCACCTTGAGGATCTTGTCGACGGACCACATCTCGGCGATGTACTGCGCCGAGAAGCAGAGCGGCGCCAGTCGCACCCGCTCAATGCACATGCGCGTGGCGGCAACGGCATTGAGCTCGGTCTCCATCCGAAAGGACTGGACGATGCGCCGCACCTACAGGTGTGCACTCCCCGCCTAAGGCGCGGCACCGCCTCCCTCTAGCACCGACCCCAACTCCCCCCCCCCCCCCCCCCCGACCCCAAGGCTCCGCGGCTCTTCGTGCGAGCAACATCTCGGCGTTCGCGGCTAGGGACTGCACGCCTCGGACATGCTCTCCGTCTCGATGAGCTCGGCGCGGGTGAGCTCGTTGAAGGCGCGCACGACCTTCCGATCCCACTCCTCCACCATCGAGTCCTGCAGCCCGCGCCGCTTGTTGGCGAGCGCGCGGAACATGTGCGACGGCAGGTAGTTGTGCAGCTGGTCCGTCAGCTGCCCCTCCTACAGAGCGCGCGCGCGCGAGGCCAGCCGCGTGAGCGCAATGTGGTGCGAGGGCGGGGCGGGTCGCTCCGACGCCACGCCTCTAGCACGAGGTCGTCGTCCTGCTCCTCCTCCGTCATGCCCTCCTTGAGGTCCTTGAAGATGGCGAGCGCGGCGAGGTCGAAGATCTCGCTATTGTCGGGCGAGGTGAAGCGCCCCTCGCGCAAGTCCGACATCGCCTGGCAAAACTCGAGCTGCTGCTCCTTCTTGGTGCGCGCTTGCGGCAGCAGCGAGGTGACCTTGCGCATCACCAGCCGGAAGGAGCTGGCCGGCACCTGCGAGATGATGCCGAAGCGTATGCGCGCCGCCCGCTCCCAGTTGACGAGCGTCTGGTCGAGCAGCAGCTCGTCGCCCGGCAGCTTGCGCTCGGTCATGTTGCCCGCGATACCGGGGTGGTCCCAGAGCTCGAGCAGCCCCCACTCGGTCTCGTTGTTGAGCCCGTGCTTCTTACACATGAAGCGGGCCACGTCGCGGCCGTGCGTGTTCTCGGTCAGCGGGATGCTCGTGAAGGAGCCGTCCATCATGTACACGCGAAGCACCTCCGGGTTGAAGAAGGGCGACTTTTGGTAGAGGAGCGCCAGCGTCTGCTGCAGCGTCGCGATCCACTCGTCGCACAGCTCGCGCTCTGGCGACGCCATGTAGAGGGCGTGCTTGCCCGAGATGAGCGAGAACTGCTTCCCCTTGACCACCTTGAACAGCTGGCCCTGCACCCGCAGCCCCGCCGACTCGCCGGTGTCGTCCTCGGCAACCTCCATCTCCTCCTCCACCTCCTTGAGGGCGAACCAGCGCAGGTCGACCGCACCCTTCTCCTCGGCCTTGGCCTTGGACTCGTAGTACCGCAGCTTGCCGTCGTTGTAGAGCACGAAGAAGCGGCGCTCCCACTTGCCAAAGGTGCCCTCCTTCTTCTTGCGCAGGTACCCTTCCTTGATCACCGCCGCCACCTTTTGGTCGACCGGCTTCTCGTCCTGGTCACCGTCGAGGCTCACCTGCATCTTGTACCCGTCGACGGCGCGCGCCTCGCCCGCCGAAGCCTGCAGCTTCTCCGCCCACGCCTCGCTCGCCTCGGGGGCGAGCGAATCCCGCTGAAACACGACGACGTCGCCGCCGCCCCAGCGCGAGGCCTTAAACCGCCGCCTTTTCTGCAAAAAGAGGCCGGCGCCGTCGGCGCGCCGCACCTCGATCGCTGCCGACTTGAGGCTGACGGCGCATGAGGCCATGTTGAGCGAGTGCACCACCTGCCGGGCGGAGCGGTGAGGAGGGGGCGAGCGGGCGGCCGCGCGGGCGGGCCGCGGGGCGCGAGACCTGCAGCGCCTCATGGTCGACGTACAGCGAGAGGGTCCCCTGCTTCAGCGAGACGTACCTGCCGAGCGGGCCGAAGGGCGAGGTGAGGAGCTATGGGGCTGCGCGCTTGCGGCGCGCGCGCTGTGCCGCACCGCTTCTCGTACTTGCCCATCTGGCCCACCTTGCACACGAGCCACCCCTCGTACGCAACCTCAAAGCGAGGCATCTCGACGAACTCGTCCTCGTCGGCGTCGTCGCCGACGGTGCGCGTCGGCTGGATCCGCAGCGGCCGGCGCTTGCCCGAGAGGCCGATGCGGCCTCGGCCGTGCTTGGCGGGGTAGAGGATCTTGAGCAGCGCCTCCCGCTTCTTGTCGGGCGTCAGCGCCGGGTCGTCGCTCTCCCGCATGTCGAGCAGCTTCTGGTGCGCCAGGTAGGTCCGGGTCCACCGCTCGAGCAGCTTGGCCGCGGCGCGGACCTCGCAGTACGCGCGCCGGATCTCCCACGACTTGCAGAAGCCCTGTAGCCGCAGGATGCACCGCTTGGCGCGCTTGTAATGCAGGAGCGGCTTCAGCATCCGCATGTAGGACTGCAGGATGATGACGTACTCGGCGACGCGCTCCGTCCGGATGGCGTCGAGCTGCTCCATGATCTCGAAGTTGAGGAGGAAGAGGAGCGTCTTGCCCACGCGGTACTTGTTCTCGTCGACGCCCAGCTGCTTGAGCAGCAGCTCGGTCCGCTTCGTCACCGTCCCCGCGCGCAGCGCCGAGGGGTCGTCTGCGCAAATCTTGTAGTACTGGTAAAAGTGCTTGAGCGGGCGGCGGACGTTGAGGCCCGCCTTGCGGATCTGCGTCACCTCGAGCGTGCCCGAGTAGGCGAGCTGCTTGAACATAAAGTCGTTGTCCCAGTCGCCCGCCTGCAGCGTCTGGTTCGGCTTGAGGCAGCGGATGTAGTGGTGCTCCGTCGCGCGTAGCTTCTCCATCAGCGTCGCCAGCTGCTCCGAGAAGGTCTTGGCGACGGTCTTCTTCTTCATCCCGCCGCCGCCGCGCTTGCCCGGCTTGGCCTTGCTCTCGGCCGCCTCGAGCTTCTTCTGCGTGTCGGCCCGCGCGAGCTCGCTCAGCCGCTCGAACTGCGAGTGCACCTCGAGCAGCATCAGCACGTCCGGCGAGAGCTCGTCCTTGTTCTTCTCGACCCACCCCTCGATGGTGTACACCACCTCGCCGGCGTAGTGCGAGAGCACAAAGGTGCGGTCCTGCGGGCGGCGGGGTTCGGGGGTGGGCTCGAGCGCGGCCGCGGCCGCGGGCGGCGGCACGGAGCGGCGGGTCGCGCGCCGATGACTTTTTCGGCTTGGTGTAGGCCTTGTACTTTGGCTGCGCGAAGGTGGCGTGCATGTTGTCGAGCACGGTCGAGTCCTTGCCGGAGCCGGTGGCGCAGCCCTCGTCGAGGAGGCCGAGGACGCAGATCGGCCGCTTGGCGATGAGGTCGATGATGTGCTGGTTGTCCTCGTACGAGACGAAGTTCCACTCGACCTCCTCCTTGACGTACACCTCCTGCTCGAGCTTGAAGACGTGCTCGATGAAGAGGTTGTGCAGCGACTCGTTGGTAAAGTTGATGCACAGCTGGGGGAACGAGTTGGTCTTGAAGTTCTCGAACCCAAAGATGTCGAGCAGCCCGACGCAGTGCGCCGCGTTGTAGACGCTGATGTAGTCGTTGATGACCGAGACGACGCAGTCGAAGACCAGGCAGTAAATGTGCGCGCACAGCGAGTTGCGCGCCGCTGTCGCGGCGCGCGGCTCGAGCGGCACCTTGTAGGTGGAGAGCTTGCCGCCGCCCATGGTGCGGTACGAGATGGCGTCCATCAGCTGCTGCGGAGTCACCTGGGGGAGGAGCGAAGGGGTGGGGCTTACAGGGATTGGGGGCGGAGAGGGATGCGCCGGCGGGCGGGTGTAGAGGCGGGGCGAGCCGCCTGCAGCAGCGCGGCGCAAGCCTCGACTTGCTTGGGGTCCTTGGCCTCGGAGCCCTCCTTGCCGGGCTTGAAGTCGAGGTTGCCCAGCTGCAGCACGAAGACGAGCATCTTGTACAGCTCGAGCCGTGCCTCCTCGGTGAAGCCAACCTTGAGCAGCGCCTCGTGCATGTCCTCGAACTCAGCCGCGTCGTTCCAAGTCGTCACCTCCGCGACGGTGCCCTTCTGGTTGCAGATCTTGTAGTCCTGCCACTTTGTCAGCCCGAGCGACTCGCGCACCGCCGCGGGCGCCTTGGCGAGCATGTAGAAGACGTGGTAGTTTCGCTCGCCTGGCAGGCGCGTCGAGAGAGGCGTGAGCGAGGGCGGCCTCCGGAGGAGATAGTGCCGGAGAATGGGGGCTGCGCTCGCCCTCGAGGTGGACGGTGATACGCGGCTTCTCGAGCAGGTAGGCCGACGTGAAGGCGCCTGCAGAGGCGGTGCGGGCCATGAGCTCAGGTCGAGGCCGTGGCCGGGCTGCGGCATGGGGCTTCGGGCGCCAATGATGACGCCATTCGCCGAAAACTGCACGTCAAAGTGCTTGCCTGACCGCACGGAGGGGAGGCGTGAGGCGCAGCCTGGCGGCTGAGGCCGCGATCGAGCCGGCGCCACGCACCGAAGCGGGACGAGTTGTTGTTGCGCACCGTCTTGGCGTTGCCGAGCGCCTCCATGATGGGGTTGGTCTGCATCAGCCGCGACGCAACCTGTGGCGTTCGTGCAAAGCTCGGCCGCGCGTCCGCTCCCGCTGCGGGTGACGCCGCCCCTGTCCTACGGCGGGGCCTCGGTCTAGACAACTAGCCGCGCGGCGCGCCTCGTCCGAGACTCGCTGGCCCTTCTTGGCAGACACCTGCCGCCGGAGCGCCAGGCAGGTTGGTAGTGCGGCTTGGGCGGCGGGCCCGTGAGACGAGGTGGCTGTCTGAGGCGCGCGCGCACCTCGCCGATGTACGAGAGGGCAATCTTCATCGCCTCGGTCTTGCCGGCGCCCGACTCGCCCGAGATGAGAATCGACTGTGACTTTTCGTTCCGCACCATCTCGTTGTAGGCGTGGTCCACCAGCGCCTGCAGCCACGCGGCGGGGCTGGGTCACGGGCCGGTTCCGAGGCAGCCATGCGCGCCCCATCGCGCAGCGGCGCTGCTGGATGCCGAGCCCTCGACGGGTGTGTGCGCCAGATTTGCAGCGGGTTCCGCCGCTCTGACCCCGTCTATGGCGCACGTGCATAGATGTGCGGAGGCAGCGCCGTGCGAGAGCCGCCCTTGTACTTGTTGCGGATGGCCTTGCCGGTGTTGCCGACGTTCTTGAAGGGGTTGACGGAGACGACGATGTCACCCACATAGGTGTACACCACCTCGTACTTGTACCGCCGAGCCAGGTTCTCGAGCAGAGAGTCCTTGGTGAGTGTCGGAAGCGCAATCATGTCGTTGTAGCCGTAGCCATGGTTGCGCTTGAGGAAAGTGTCGGCGTTGCCTTCTCCATTCCGGCCGAGGGAGCACGGCTCCCAGTCCGGCGGCGCCGACATGGAGAGCGCCTTGCAGCCAAAGGCGAGCAGGACGGACGATAAAAACAAAAAAAGCTACCTTTCATAACGCGATTCGGCTCTACTATTACAGCGAAAGCCCCCAATCACGACTCACAGTGATTTGGGCATCGGCAGCTTTGGCCCTGGCCCCAGCCGATGCTGGGGCCCTGTCCCGTCAGCCGAGTAGAGCCCGCGTCATGTGTCGGGGAGGCCTTGCGGAGAGACCACAGCGAGTTTCTCTTCTTCAAGTACCATGCCGCAACGGAGCTACGGAGGAGAAGTTGCCTGGGATTGGGGACAACCTGGGGCTTGCAGCTGCTGTGTGCGTGTGGTGCGGGCTTTCGCCGCGGCGCTCTCTGGTTGGACAATCTGTGCACACTCATAGCACCGCGGTGACCTGTATCTCCACGAGCATGGCTGGCTTGGCCAGCGCAGCCTCGACCGTCGCCCGCGTGGGCTTATCATCATCTCCGACCCACTCGTTCCACGCTGCATTCATGCCAGCAAAGTCGCGACCTATGTCCTTGAGCCAGACCTGCGCCTGCACCACCCGAGATTTGTCGGTGCCGGCGCGGCTCAGCCGCTCGTCGATCACGCGCAGTACCCTGCGCGTCTGCTGCTCCACGCTGTCGCTCTCTCTGATGGGATCGCCGTCTGCCTGCGCCGTCACGCCGGAGAGGTACACCACGTCGCCGGCTACCACAGCGTGCGCAAACGGGAGCTTGGCGCTGACGCCGATGCGTGTGAGCGGCTGCGATCGCTTGAGCCGCGCAAGCAGCAAGGCGGCGAGCACCCAGCCAGCAGTGGCGAGGGCGTCTTGCCACATATATTTTTTGTTGCTTGCGGCTGTTGACCGAAAAGAATTCGTAGCTGGCGACACTGGGCACGGGACTGGCGCGCACTGGCACTAACACAGCGAAAGAATTTCATAAGGAAACCCTCTCGCACGACACTAGGCACGGGACTGGCGCGCACTGGCACTAACACAGGTACACCACGCACCACGGGAGCCGCCTAAGCGACTCCTGCGAGGACGGCGAGGCACTTAGCTCCGTGCACTCGACCGCCCTCGCCGCAGGCAAGCTCATTCACAATCTGCTCTGCGATGGCCGTAACCCGTGTGAAGAACGACTGAGATACGCTGCTTCTGCAGCCCCAGCCAGCTCTTGTGGTCCAAGTCGCCTCATCGAGGTACTGGGCCCGCGTCAGCTTGTTCTGCAGCACGTCCGCCGCCTTCCAGGGGATCTCGCCGACCCCCTTCCCGAACCCGCCGAACGACTCGAACAGCAGCAGCTGCACGTCGACGTCCTTGTCCTCCCTGGCGTAGCGATACTCGCCGCCATAGGACGGTATGCGGCGGTCGCCGCCCACCACCCTCTCCCCCCAATATGCCAGCGACCCGTCCCCTGCCCCCTCTCGCCCTTGCTCTTCCTCTCCCCCTCCATGCCCTCGCCCCCGTACCCCTCACACTCCTCTGTCCCCCCCTCTCCCTCCCGCCCTCCCTCTCCCTCCTCGCAGCAGGGCCCATGCCCCACGACCATGTTCCGGTAGAACGCCTTGCCGAAAGCGACAACAGCACCCTTCCGACCATGCTCCCCGCTGCTGCTGAGGGGGCAGACGACCTTGACATCGCCAGAATAGCGCCTGCCGCCCCTGCCAATGTTGCACGCGTCCACACGTCGGGTTGTTTGTTGTAACTATGACCGAGGTTGGCTGTATCCGATACAACTGTAGGTTGGTGATGTACCTAGGTACCGGGTTCCCCGGCTCCTACCCGGATAGGTAGGGGGTCTGTTGACACTGACTCGCGCCAAAACGCCCTACCTACCTACCTATCCCCAGAAGCGAAAAAAGATGAAAAGGCGAAAATAGGGGGTCCCTACCTATTGCAGGGCCCTTTTGGGCCAAACAAGACCAACCTTGAGCACTTGAGCACTGGATAGGGTCGATTCCGCATGGTACGGGACCCCAGACCAACCTACCTACCTATCTGGGTGGGAGGGAGGGGCCAGCCAGTGGCAACAAACACACACCCTACCTATCCACGGACGGACGGACGGAGCTAAGACCTAGTGCCTCGCCGTCCTCGCGGGAGTCGCTTAGGCGGCTCCCGTGGTGTACCTGTGTTAGTGCCAGTGCGCGCCAGTCCCGTGCCCAGTGTCCTGCGAAACGGTAAAATTCTTCTCGCCGTCCCTTATAAAATGAACTCGGGGGCACGGGACGCGGCACAATCGGTAAAATTCTCCGTACATACATTGGAGATCGATGGCACCAGCGAACAGGCCACAGCCCACATGCGGACGAGTCGGTCTATTTGCCGTCTGGTGCTCACCAACGGCTCCGGCAGTAGAAGAAAGCGGAGCGGAGACACGCGTCCTCCTTGAGCGAGTCGGAATTCCTCGCTTCGCTCAAGGAGGACGCACGACCGAGCATCGAGCGCATCTAGACTCAATGGCTATGTTGAACTCACTCCCCACGAAGGAGCGCCTCGGCAGCATCTACGAGAGCATGCCCACCAAGGAGCAGCTCATCGCCGCCTACACCGACGGCGAACTCCGCGCCGACCTCGTCCAGAGCACGCTCTCGGCAGCGGGCGCCGACGCCTTCCTCTCCGAGTCTCAGCGCTCGGCGCTCACTGGCCTGGTCTCTTACGGTGAGACGGCTGACCTGATCAAGGAGGCTGCGCTCTACTACCCAACCCTATCCGAGAAGTACCACGACTATGCGCCGCTCGTCGCAGACGCCAAGGAGGCCGTGGCCGCGCGGGTGGTGCTTGCCCGCAGCGCCGAGGGGCGCTCGGAGCTGATCGCTGAGGGAAAGGACCTCGCGACCGAGAAGCTCATCGCACCCGTCAAGGAGATGGCGGCGGAGAAGATCTTCGCGCCCGCCAAGGCCCGCGCCGCGCCGTTCCTGACCAAGGTGGCCGACAAGAAGGCGTCACTCGTCGAGAAGAAGGAGGCGATTCTCGCCGACAAGCGGCTGTGCCGCGCTCTTGAGGCGCTCCAGGAGGCGCGCGAGCATCCGACCGAGACAGCGGCTGCGCTCAAGGCGACCGCCATCTCCCTGCTTCAGTACGACAAGGTGGCCGAGTACCGCGAGTACATCCAGTCCGACGCGTTTGCCGAGGACACGCGCCAGCTCGTCACCGAGAGCCTGCCCGCGCTTGCCAAGGACGCGGCCGAGCAGGGCCTTGAGAAGGTGCGCGTCAAGGCCACGGCACTCTCCTCCGACCTCCAGTCCTCGGTCGAGCTCCTCATCTCCTCGCTCTCGCAACCCTCGGGTTTCGAGACGCCCTCGGCGCCCGACCTCTCCACGACCATCGAGCGCGCGCTCTCGCTGGCCGTGCAGGCGCGCTCCCTCCTCTCCGACGTCACCCTCGGCGCGGCACGCCTCTCCAAGAACACCGCGTCGTCGCGGGCGGCTCTCGAAAAGCTCGCCGCCCTCATCGCTCCTCCGGCCAACCCCGAAGCTGTGACCGCCATGACCGAGACGGCCGAGGCGACCCTCGCAACCACCAACGAGACGGACACCAACGAGACGGACACCAACGAGACGGACACCGACTCGCTGGTCACCGTCGACGCGGGGGCGGGCCACACCGATGTCATCTCGTGACGCTAGACCAGAGTGGGTGGCAGTGGCCGGAGCGCGAAATCCGAAAAGGCCTCCCACCGGCACGCCAAGTAACACGGGCTGTGATTTTGTGATTGTGTCTGAATACCGAAAAAAGTGCAAAGATCTCTCTTCGAGCACAGGGAGGATCGTCGGGAGTCTGTCCGACAGTTTGGTCAACCTGCACATCCGACGCGCAGGGGGGGGCCAGGCCCAGGGCGAGACGAGAGCGGAGAGGGAAGGTGGAGCAGGACGGTTGCGGAGATCACGGATCAGCAGGGCCAGGGGAGGATGTGTACGAAGAGATTAAGAGCAGCAGGGACCCGAGGGACCATGTGGAAGACGGCTAGTGCTAGTCCCCCATCGGGAGGATGACCCCGGCTACTGGGCTGGGTTTTTAGGCATTGTGGGGTTGGCACTCCCATCGACCCTCATGACCTCCTGCGGTCTCTGAGATGGACACCAGTGGGTGTGGGGCCACAGCCAGGATACACTCGAAGGCTGGGTAAGCAGTAGAGGTCGATACTCGACGCGTCCCACATGGTCTGTGTCGCTGTCGGCACGCTGTCGACGGGACGTCGAGCGACACCGGTGGCAGTGCCACCCAGGAGTGGTCGGGCGGTCTCCCGTCATGAAAGAGCCACCATGTGATCCGTATGATGGTTCCTGACAACCGCCTCCGTCAACTTTCGTCACAGTTCCCGCTCTGAGAGGAGCTGCGGGTCAGTTCGACAGCTGGAGCTGTGTCGCCGGCGTGCGGCGGCCTGCCTCCGGAGGTGCCTGTGAGGTGGACATTTCTTGGTCACCGTGAGAGAACGCGTTCGAATTTTTACTCCGGAACTTCAACTGAGCACGCGCACCGGCCAGGGCTACAATAGTGCCAGTGAGGCGGAGGCGCGAGTCGGAAGGCCGCGACCGTCAAGTGTGCCCGCTCATTTTCCTACAATCGCTGTGAACCCAGCCACGCGTAATCGCCGACCACAGGCCGACCACTACCGTCCACCCGCACCCCCACAAATAAGTCGCGTTACTTTGACAAAGAACCCTGCACAAAGATCGCACGGGCGGGGACCTGTGTTGCTGTTCCTTTTTACCCATCTCACAGTAGAGGGTTTTATTTATTTACACCCGAGAGGCATCCGCGTGGGACCGTGCCAGTGCGCGCGCGCGCCGATTCTCTCGGGGGGGTGCGCGGGTGCCCAGTGTGTCGTATCCCTGGTCTGGCCGAAACTTTTCGCGGTATCCGCGGCGGGATATGCATATGGTGGGATATGGCGGGATATGGCGGCATGGCGGGATACCGGGAGATACCGGGAGATACCGGGAGATACCGGGAGATACGAGATACGGGGAGATACTTGGAGATGCGAGGAGATAGAGGGAGACATCGCAATTGATGCGATTCCGATCGGCGAATGATTTCGGCCGGTCGTAGTCGATCGAGCGCGTCGGAGAGGTGTTCGGGTCCCGCATTGGCATCATTGGCTTTGTTTAACCCCATAACTATTACACAGTCGCATGCAGACCCAAAAGGTCCCTGTGCGGCGCAAGCTGCTCGAGCATGTGAGTGGCATTCGCTGTGTACTTACGTTTTGGATCACCTGCGGCCATCTCACGCAGTGGCCGCGGCCGTCTCGCGACCCATTTGGGGCCAAACTCCCCTGATCGCCGCGAGTCCTGCGCCTCCCGTAAACGTGACCAGGCCCTGAGCTCTGCATATAGGTTCTACTTGGCCGTGGATATGTCCCGGTTCAGGGGTTTATCATCCTTTCGGGGTTCATCACAATGTATGCGTATCGCGAGAAGCGGTACACTGACCGCGCGAGCATCCTGCGCTTCTACTGCCTGCGATTTGGGGCAATCGTGGCCTCGTATTACCTCTTTTACGTGCTGAATGCCCTCTACTACAGCGTCACGAGGTGGGAGCGCCATGACGAGTTTCTCGCTGGAGGTGCCATCACGTCGCTTTTCTTGGTGCAAGCCTTCGCACCAGGTTCTGACTGGTTCCCCAACGGGCCGGGGTGGACCTTATCGTGTATGTCGTTCTCCTGGTGGCTGTTCCCTCTTACACACTCACTACTGCGACACACACGCTCCGCTGCCGACGGCATCACACTCCGCATGCTCGGTGCACTTGCAGCTTCACTCTGCCTCATGCATGGGCCGATTGTGTCGATGGCGATGATTGATCTTGGCAAGCAGACTGGATGTCTCATCGTTGGGGACGTAGACAAATGCAACGCGGGGGACGACCAGCGGTGGTGGAACTGGTATATTCTTTACAGATTTCCCCTGGCGTTGAGATATGTGCTAAGCACCTTCCCCACATGGCGAGAAGCACACGCATCTGTGTTGCAAATAGGCGCGCGCTCCAGATTTCTTCTTTGGCATGGTGGTGGCTGAGATGTTATGTGCTTGCCGATGCGGAGAGGCCTGGCAGCATGAGACCCGCTGGGGTCGTATCGGGCGCTACTTTTGGGGGGCCGTAGCTGATATCACCGCCGCTGCGTTCTTCGTGCTCAACTTCTTTTGGTTTGGCAGAGACGGGTGGAAGCCAACTGGGTATGGCAGGGTGGTCGCTTACGAGCCGTTGTGGCTCACCCTAATGGGTCCGCTCTATGGAACCTTCCTATTTGCCTCTTCGTGTGGAACAGGTGGAGTCTTTGCAAAACTTTGTCGGCACCCCGTATTGACCAACTTAGGGGACCTTGGTTTCCAAGTGTATATGTGTCATTACTTGGTCATGAATTTGCTAATTGACTTTCACGCGCCGTGGGCCTAGACAGCACTGGCGAGGCGAGGCGGCTGGCGCCGGTCCCGGAGGCGGCTGCAGGAAGAGCAGCGAGGCAGAAGTCACTGTCCAAGGCGTACTGAGCAGGCTGCCATCGAGCAGCGCGCCATGCGGGCCTGCCGCCGGCGACGAGATTGGAGAGCCGACAGGCATCGAAGAGGTAGGTACTGAGGAGGGCCATCGCGCCCGAGGCGGTCCGCGCCGGCCCTGCAGGCCGTCTCAGAGAGCCTGGCGAGGCTGTACAGAATGCCAAGAGCATACTGGGCAGGCTGCCGTCGAGCGACGAGCCATGCTGGCTCGTCGCAGGCGATGAGGTGGAGGAGCCGATCGGAGCGTCGCAGAGGCTGCCGACCACTGCCGTTCGCCCTCGGGCCCAGGGGTGGAGGGCAAGCTTCCTGGCGTTTCTGGCGAGCGTCCAGACGTCGCAGAGCATCCGGCAGGCGCGCAGCGACCCAAATTTTTGCTCACCGCACGGCCGTGCGAGCCGTCGGTCGGTGGTGATGGTCGGCGTCGGCGCGCGCCGACCGACGCGGCGGCGGTGGGCGTCATGTGGCGGGCGTGGGAAAGAGCATTGTCCGAATTGCGGCGGACGTCCCTCTCGGGCTTAGTACTTAGTTCAGCGCTCGCCTGCGAGCAGGTCTAAATCATGGGCAACCCTCTACCCCTACTACCCAACCATTCCTCCAATGGTTCCTTGACGCGTTGACCTTGCGTCGTTTTGTGTCACTTGTCTAGTTCCTCTAAAACACGTGTTTTCTAGTTCTAGTCTTCTCGTCTCACAAATAAAAGCAGCGCCTCTTCTATCCATGCTACGCCTCAGTCAGAGACGCGACGGCAGCGACTCGGTACGTGGGTAGGGGCTGGGCGGGACGCGGTCACCATGGGCTAGGCCTACCCGGCGCGGGGCTGGGGTCGCTCTGTCACGCGCCCTTCTCGCGCCTCGACAGCGGGGTCGGCCCACGCCGGAAGCCGCGCCGCGTCCGGCTTGGACAGGTTGGCGGGCGTGGCGGCGGCAGCTGCGGAGGCCTTGACCCCCGACTCGTACTCCTTGTACGTGCCCATCAGCTTGTCCCAAAACATGACGTACTGCGCAAAGTTGGTGTTTGGCTTGCGGTGGTGCGTCTCGTGCGCGCGCACGGAGTACTCGATGCCACAGAAGCGCAGCTGCACGTCGTACCCGGTGTGGTTGAAGCAGGCGCCGAGGGCCTTGACTCCGAAGTGGGCGAGCACGGCCGCGACGTGCAGCCCCGCCGTGTGCGCAACCTGCGAGGGGCGGGCCGCGGTGAAGAGGCTGATCGGCCGGCGGCAGCGGCGGGTCGGTGGGTTGGAGGAGAAGGGGGGTAGGGGTGGTGTGTGAGTGTGAGTGTGAGTGTGTGTGTGTGTG